ATCATTGAATAATATTGTAAGCAAATTGCTGAAGTCAAACGACCCTGATCCCAAAATTAGACATGCGCTTGATTTAGAGAAGCTGGAAGAATATATTCATAGCATCTTACCAGATAACTCTGGTTGGAATAGGCAAGACGACCGAGGACAATGTTGAACCCTGATCATGCAGACTCCTTAAGGTAATCCCAGGATCAGAGAAGCAACGGGATCTCCTCTTAAGTAGTGCTTGTTGTCACGACAATTCTGACATCCGAGTTAGACATGATATGTCTCTCGAAGATAGAATAAAAAGGAAGAAAGCACTAGCTGAACTAGAAACCCGTCGACAAAACGGTGATGAAAATCTACGGTTAGTGGGTTTTCGGATAGTCAAGTCTTGGAAGCGAATGCTATCAAGGCCTGTGTGGATAGGCCGTTCTACCTAGGAGTTTTATATGCCAACGCTCGTAGTATAAGAAATAAGTTCTGTGAACTAGAAGCATTAGTGGACAGATTAAGGCCACTCATTGTAGCAGTGACAGAAACTTGGTCAGTCCATGACTTAGACATTACTCCAGAATTATCCGGATACCATTACCTAAGGAGTGATAGACGTAGATGTAGAAATGGAGGTGGTGTCCTGTTATACATAGCCAATAATATAAATATCCCCTTCTCTGTTAGCGAATCCCATGACAGCGGTACTTGTGAAGTCGTTAGCTGTAAATTGGCTATCGGATGTAGTACATTTATGCTCGGTGTCATCTATCGCAGCCCAATCTGCTTATCTGATGACCTTATTTTAGAGCACATTCATCTTTGGAGTGCGAATACCAGATGTTTGATAATAGGAGACTTTAATGCACCTGATATTAGTTGGACTGAGACGATCACGGAAGGATCTATAAACTCCCTTGATAGTAGGTTCCTGATAACAATAATGGAGCATGCATTAGTGCAGCATGTATCCAAACCCACACATTTTTCTGAAAACTAAGGTTCTTCTCTGTTGGACTTGGTCGACCTGAGTATTCTTCCACCGTTAGTGAACAGCGATCACGCTGTTTTGTCATTCACGTTTAGAACTAGGGACATGTTATACGATCAGGTTACACCCCGCCCAAATGTGTGGAAAGCTAACATATCAGCTATTCAGGAATGCTCTACTAAGACAAATTGGTTTGTAGATACTAGCTTATCAGTTGAAGAAGCATGGTCTGTATTTAAAGGTAAGCTTAGTTTAGTTACGTCCTCGTTCATACCATACTTGGTACCGCGAAGACCAAATAACAGTCCACCATGGATGACTAAACCAGTCAGGAAACTTCTTAGAAGAAGGAAGAAACACTGGAATATGTTCATCTCTACTGGCTTAGAACAATACAGACCCAGTTATTGTAGGATCAGGAATGCCTGTAAAGCGTTAATAAGTAAGACTAGACGATCATATGAAAAACAGTTGGTTAGGGATTCTAAATATAGTCCTAAACGGTTATTCTCGTATATAAAAAGGCGAACTCGGAGAAACGATGGAATTACATCACTTTTGATACAAGAAAAACCGTCAATCTTGGCAGAAAATGATACCAAAAAAGCCGAAGCTTTATTGGAATATTTCAGTAAAGTGTTTTCTATCAGTAATGGGGAACGACCAACGATTCATTGTGATTGTGGCGGCTCGCTGATGGGCCCTGTGGTCATTGAGAAAGGTACTGTTTTAAGGTTACTTCAGCATCTCAAACTTGATAAGTCCAGTGGTCCTGATGATATTCATCCTAGGATTATGAAAGCCATATCAGATGCAATTGCTGGACCATTAGCGATACTGTTTGACATGTCTCTGAGGCATTCCAGACTACCCAGAGACTGGAAAGACGCTATAATAAGTCCGGTGTGTAAGGCTGGGAGTAAAGATTTAGTTAGTAACTATAGACCCGTTAGCTTAACTAGTGCAGTTGTAAAACTGATGGAAAAAATCATTCGGATATCTGTTATAAACTATGTTGAAAGGCATAATCTTTTCTCCAGGGAACAATATGGTTTTCGGAGAGGCCTATCGTGCTTGACAAATCTCATTGCAAGAGAAGATTGGGCTGCTGCAAAAGATCAGAATATTCCTGTAGATGTGATCTTCATAGATCCAAGTAAGGCTTTCGATAAAGTCTCCCATTCTGGTCTTAAATTCAAACTGGAACGCTTCGGAATCCATTATACAGTCGTAGATTGGATAAGTAACTTTCTCCATGATAGGAGACAAAGGGCAAGGGTTGATGGGGCCTGTAAAGTGGAGTTCCTCAAGGTACAACCGTCGATCCTCTTCTCTTTTTACTTTACGTAAATGAATTACCAACTATAGCAAGATCATCCGTTCTACTCTTCTCTGATGACATAAAAATTTAGAGACCCATATACAGTATGCCGGATAGGATAGTGTTACAGAATGATCTTAGCTCATTGGTGGCATGGTTGGACAGGTGGTCACTTAAAGTAAATCCTAATAAGAGTGTGGTAATGCAATTATATAACTATGATGAATCGTATCACTATACAATATGTGGATTCGTGCTACCCAAAGTAAGAAACTATATTGATTTAGGAGTTATATTAAGCAGTGATTTCAAAACCACTAGTCACTGTAAGGCTGCTGCTGCGAAAGGCTATAGGGTATTATGGTCTTTTCCTAGGTCTTTCCAGTATTTAGATGAAATGTTTAGATTATTATACCCGATTTAAGTGTGACCACATTTAGAATATGGGATTTAAGCAGCGAGTCCTTGTTTCAAGTATGAAGCATATATGCTGGAAAGAGTCCAACCACGAGGTACTAAGATGGTACAAGGTCTATCTGGTCTATCTAATGAAGACAGACTGAGACACCTTAACTGATTTCCGTTATCTTACCGTAGAATACGGGGTGATCAAATTTTGGCTTATCGTATACTGAACGATGAATTTGGTATTAAGATGTCTTATCTTTTACTTCCGTATAGGAATGATTATTTGAGAGGACATTCGAAGAAGTTCAAAATCCGAGATCAAATCGTTTACGTCTGGGGTTTCGTTTCTCTCACCGAGTAGTAAATGACTGGGATTCTCTAACGGATCACGTAATATCAGCACCTTCTGTTGATGTATTCAAAATGAGATTGGAAAGCCACAGTACTACAAACTGCAAGGATCAATATAGGTTGATAGACCAAATACACAGAAGCAAACAAGCATGTGAAGAGGAGCACTAGAGCCGACAAACAGAAATACGTGCAACACCTAGCAATGAAAGCAAAGAGGGCTGTAAGAGAAGGAAATATCAGACAGCTATATGATACAACGAAGAAACTAGCACGGAAATATTGTACGCCTGGGTGACCAGTCAAGGACAAAGAAGGCGAGACAATCACTGAGATTCAAGAATATTGGAACAGGTGGGTTGAACACTTTGAAGAACTCTTAAACAGACCAGCTACTCTGAACCTATCGGACATCGAAACAGCACAAACAGACCTTCCTATAGCTGTCACTCCATCAGTATGGCACTCAAACGAGTCAGGAGTGGGAACGCGGAAGGACCTGAAAATATACCAGCTGAAGCACTGAAGTGAGACATCCAAATGACTGCAGACATGCACCACATTCTGTTCAGGAAGCTCTGGGAGGAGAAACAAGTGTTGTATTCCAAGTGAGTACTGGTGTCAGACGAGGTTGCTTACTCTCTCCGTTTCTCTTTCTCCTGATGGTCGACTGGATTATGAAGACCTCCACATCTCAGTGGAATCACTGAATAGGGTGAGCAGCTCGCACACAACTGGACGATTTAAACTATGCAGATGACCTGGTCCTTCTATTCCATAAACATCATCAAGTGCAGGTCAAGACAAACAGTGTAACAGCAGACTCTGCACCAGTAGGTCTCAACGTGCACAAGAGGAAAATCAAGATACTCAAATACAACACAGAGAACACCAACCCAGTCACACTTGATGGAGAATCTCTGGAATAGGTGGAATCTCTCACGTACTTGATTGATCATGCTGTAGATAAATCGAAGTCATTTCCAGTGATCTATCGTATAAGTCCGTGATTTCCCAATGGAGTTCCTACATATAGCTGAAGCAATAGAAATTCATACATATCACCCTAATATATGTGTACAGAAGAAATTTGTAACTCCGCTATCCCTTGCATGGGCCAGTTATAACTTTACTAACGATTAATTTTCTTAAATTTTTTATTATTTTTATTTCTTCTTTACTATTATTATTATTACAGTTATTATTATTATTATTATTATTATTAGTAGTAGTAGTAGTAGTAGTAGTAGTATTTACACGTCCATTATTTGTTTGTAATTATCCGCTTCTTTCCGTTTGTATTCTTCACTATCTGATTAAAATATTTGTTGAGTTCCTCAAAATTCCGCTTGGTGCCTTAATGCGTGACCAAAGGATATAAAAGAAAGTTTGATTATATGGTCAATAATCTCTTTCTATGGAGTAAAACCCTGCTGATAAGAATCATTAAACATAAAACTACAATAGAACTACTGCAACTTTGCACTAACAATGAAGAAATTTTAGTTTGGACGAATGACAAAGCTTTATGTTAAAATTCGTGACTCGTTAAAATTTACAAGCAATTTACAACCAATCAACATCGAGGTGTACAGAACAAACTGTGCAACACATATGGAGAAATTCGAACACTTCACTTCTATCTGAAATTTGTGCTGATGATGTCGTTCAGAAGAACGATGAAATCTCCACGACCAAACCATTCAGCTTAGAGAACAAAACTCCATCAAAATTATCCACCTGAGCTACAAATCTTCTCCACTGTTCTTTCTAACAACCATAGAAACAATCAAAATGGATACATGAAATTTTCATATAGTGTGAGAGATTATAAGAACCATTGAATTGATTATGGAATAGTAAAGGAACACTTTGACTGTGTTGATGATAAGAGGAATCTATAATAATAATAATAATAATAATAATAATAATAATAATAATAATAATAATAATAATAATAATAATAATAATAATAATAATCATAATTATAATAATTCCCTTAGTCTTGTATCTAATTTTAACTTGTTTTGTAAATTTTTATATTTTTCGGTTGCTTTCAATTTATACCAATTGAATAATGATTGTAATGTGTTAATTTTCAATGTTACATCATGACAATAAACTAGATAGTCTTGTTCATCTTGTTTAGTTAAATTCATTTGATTTAATTGATACCATTGTTGTTTTTTTATTAAATTCTCTTGTTGTTTTTCATAATTTAATTGTATTAAATTAATTTTATGAATTAAAGTTTGTTTAAAATCATTTAAACATTCATTATATATTAATAAAGCATATTCTTTAGTGAATTTATTATGGATTAGATTATATTGTATTAAATAAGGTTGTAAATAATCCATTTCTTCATTAGAATTATTATCTTGTTGAATTTTACTTAAATTTTCTAATTCATTACGTAATTTATGTATATCTATATTATATAATGTATTAAATGGATCAATATTGAATGTAACATGTAAATCTTCTATTGTACGTTCATTTAATATAGAATGAATTTCATAAATCGATTTATATATTAATTCTTTAGAATTTTCTTCTTCATTTAATAATTTAATAAGCATATTATAAATTTCAATTTGTGTTTTAGATTTATTAAATAAATTGACCTGTAAATGAAAACAAAAGAATTAAACAATTCATAAGTATTATATCTATCTATCTATCTATCTATCTATCTATCCACACATCTATCTATCTATCTATCTGTCTATCCACACATCTATCTATCTATCTATCTATCTATCTATCTATCTATCTATCTATCCACACATCTATCTATCTATCTATCTATCTATCCACACATCTATCTATCTATCTATCTATCTATCTATCTATCTATCTATCTATCTATCTATCTATCTATCTATCTATCTATCTATCTATCCACACATCTATCTATCTATCTATCTATCTATCTATCTATCTATCTATCTATCTATCTATCTATCTATCTATCTATCTATCTATCTATCTATCTATCTATCTATCTATCTATCTATCTATCTATCTATCTATCTATCTATCTATCTATCTATCTATCCACACATCTATCTATCTATCTATCTATCATCTATCTATCTATCTATCTATCTATCTATCTATCCACACATCTATCTATCTATCTATCTGTCTATCCACACATCTATCTATCTATCTATCTATCTATCCACACATCTATCTATCTATCTATCTATCTATCTATCTATCCACACATCTATCTATCTATCTATCTATCTATCCACACATCTATCTATCTATCTATCTATCTATCTATCTATCTATCTATCCACACATCTATCTATCTATCTATCTATCTATCCACACATCTATCTATCTATCTATCTATCTATCTATCTATCTATCTATCTATCTATCTATCTATCTATCTATCTATCCACACATCTATCTATCTATCTATCTATCTATCTATCTATCTATCTATCTATCTATCTATCTATCTATCTATCTATCTATCTATCTATCTATCTATCTATCTATCTATCTATCTATCTATCTATCTATCTATCTATCTATCTATCTATCTATCTATCTATCTATCTATCTATCTATCCACACATCTATCTATCTATCTATCTATCTATCTATCTATCTATCTATCTATCTATCCACACATCTATCTATCTATCTATCTATCTATCCACACATCTATCTATCTATCTATCTATCTATCCACACATCTATCTATCTATCTATCTATCTATCTATCTATCCACACATCTATCTATCTATCTATCTATCTATCCACACATCTATCTATCTATCTATCTATCTATCCACACATCTATCTATCTATCTATCTATCTATATATATATATATATGTATATATATATATATATATATATATATATATATATATATATATATATATAGTAGTAATTTTAATAGTTGATATCATGAGTTAAATGGAGTTAGACCATCATGGAAAACCTGGAAGCACTGGACGACCGTTTTGTTCTATTATGGGACTGCTCAGCAATGCTTATGTATGATACCACTCGCGCGCCAGCGCTTAATCACTAGACCACTGAGCCAGCATCAAATGGTGTTATTGTCTAACATCAACTAATCCACGAAATTGAACGACACATCCACAATTTTCATCAATGAGTTACTATCTCACAACTGACCCGGTTGAACTCCATTGGTCAGTGTTTCTTACTAGAACTCCAGGATATACATCTTCAAGTCAGTCACTAGTGACAACATGTTGATTAGTATCAGAAGGGGTTTTGTAGAGATTGCAGTAATTTTAATAGTTGGGATCATGAGTCAATTGGAGCTAGACCACCATGGAATGTGAATAATAATATGTAACGACCGAACGGCCAATATTCGTTTTGAACGCAGGACTGACGAATTAAAATTTATTTGAATAGGCCAGACTACGTTCTTCTGTATAACGTACGAAGCGTTTTTGAGATACTCGTATTAAATTATATCAAAACACAAACTCTGTGCTCAATTTAAACGGTTCTAATTTAGGAAATAGAACAAATTATATAAAAAATACAAAATACCTCAAACGGTACAGCCTGTGCTATACAGTCAAAAGTTTCTCTAACACAAAGTTGCGTGCTAAGCAACAAAAGAAACAGTTAATACAAAAGAGTTCAATACCTGAGAATCAATAAAAATGTTCCCAACAAGATGGGATCAAATATCTATATGCAGGGATTCCAGCAATCTTCCCAAGCAGACAATCAAAGGTAAACAGCCATACACTGAACCACTCCGTGACTTTGAGCTAAGTCAAACACGACTTTACTGTCAATAGACCGGCAACATGCAATAGAAAATTAGGTAACAAAAGGTAAGTCTTTAATCAAAATCACATAACAAAAGGTCAGACGAAGAAGACTGAAGAACACAATATGTGGTCAAAAGAGATCTGAACAAAGGTTAAAATACACGACAGGGAGAAGGCACAAGTAAACGACAGTACTATCCAATAAAATTATGTGGACATATTTTTAGTGTTCTCTTTCCTTTACAAGTAAATTAAGAGGTAATAAGAACAGTGGTGAGATAATAATTAATGGACAATCTTTGAACGATACTGAAGTGATTTTAAGAGTAGACATTTATTGATTAAAACTAATTGAGGGTTATAAAGCATTTAGAATTCGTATTTACAGTTGATAGTTAAGATTAAAAATCAGATTCAGGGTTTTGTTACGAACTGACATCAGTCATAATGACAAAACTCTATTTAACCAAATGAATGAATGAATTTTGCGCTAAAACTCGTGATTCGTTATCTTATATCTGATTGGTTCGTTCATAAGTTATTGTTTTCCCAGAACTTCTAATTATAGTTACAGTTTCTTTTAGATATAGAGTGTTAAATAATATACTGAACTTCACTCACTTCACTTGTTAAACCGTAATAAATCCATTAATAATAATAATAATAATGGCACATAGTGATTTTTTATCAGGTAATTTGTTTGCTCTATTAACTTAAATGTGATGAGACAATAATTTATGGATGGCCTTTGAGAGATGCTAAACTGACTTTCAGAGTGTACACATAGTAACAAGGACAAAATGAGGATTATAAACTAGTGTATGGAATTGGAATTATGAATTTATTTATTATTTATTGATAATAATAATTAATATTGTCAACGTGTTCGACTACTTCACTCCCTATCCTTAGTTCAGGTGTTGATGCAGACCAGGCCTGAAGCAACAGCCTGCATTTAGAGGGAGAGAAGAGCATTCCAAACATTCTGGCATTGTTGCTCAGTGCTACAAAAAGACTCTGCCTTTTGTCAGCGTCTTCATCAAACAGGACTATGTCATCTGCGTATTCTAAGTCGATAAGTGGACCTCCTGGAAGGAGATCGACGCCCGAGAATTCAGTCGATGAGAGCGTTATTTCCATCAGTAGGTCTATGATGAAGTTAAACAAAAATGGAGAAAGTAGACATCCCTGAAGGCCTGAGCCTCTGACCTGAAGCTCTGATCCACAAGGCAATGGAGCGACGTCATCAGATACAGTCCCACTGTAACCGGTGACCAACAATCGGTTCATACTCCGTTTGTTTCCCCAGGATACTGGAGCCCATGTGCACCATTAGTTTGGAATCAGGGTTTTCCAACTCCTCTAAATGAAATCTCCAAGTCCACAAACCCGGTTGAATTGCTGGACATTCGATTTTCGTCCTCTCAATTTCGTAAATAACACCGCCACGAGAAGGCAGTGAGTAGGACTTTCCTGACAGAGGCTATATACGCGTGGCCATGTGAGAGCATTTGGAGAGGGAGAGCTAACTCTCCCCACACTCAGCCGTACCAGAGCACTTGAGGCCGGAATTATGAATTACGGTTTGTGGTCAGCGTTAGCAACTAGATTTGGCATTTTCATCACTAACTGACATCAGATATAATGCCGAAATTCTTTTAAGCCAAATGGATGGATGAATTTCGCGCCAAAATTCGTGACTCGTTTTCTTATACCTAATTGGTTCCCCCATAAATTGCAGTCTCCCCTTAAATATTTTTAAAGGATAAAACAATGCCATATTTTGTCTGAGAACATTCTGGGATAGAAACTATAAGAATTCGAAAGTCATTACATACCCCTTATACTAGTAATAATCAAGTACTCACTGCAGGTTAACTTCGGGATTCGATTCTAGGAAATCATGATTAATCGGGTTTAACTATATTGAGTATGAGCCAGATATTCACAACAGCTAGTGGAAGATAGTTGCCAGATTGACGACGAATTACTCGACTTACACCTGTTACTCTTTTTGGGGGTAGCATAGGCCGCCCACCAGAACTCTCCATCCAACCCTGTCCTGGGCAATCCCTACCAGTTCTTTCCAGTGGTTGTTAATCCTCTTCATATCTGCTTCTATTTCTCGACGTAATGTGTTCTTTGATCTTCCTCTTCTCCACTTCTTTTCAGGATTTCAAGTTAGGGCTTGCCTCGCGATGCATTTTGATGATTTGCGTAATGTATGTTCTATCCATTTCCATAGTCTTCCCCTAATTTCCTTTTCAACTCGAACCCGGTTTGTTCTCTCCCAGAGACGGCTGTTGCTAATGGTGTCCGGCCACTGGATATTGGGTGTCTTGCATAGACAACTATTTACAATTATTTGTACCTTTTTTATGATGGTTATGGTAGTTCTCCAAGTCTCAGCTCAGTATAGTAGAACTGTCTTGACGTTCGTATCAGAGATTCTGACTTTAATAGTGGTTGAAAGTTTTTTGAGTTCCATATGTTCTTCAATTGAAGGAATGCGGCTCCTGTTTTGCCAAATAGTTTCCACATTCCATAAAATAATTAACTTTGAGCTTGTACAGCATTTCACTCAGTTCCAATGGTCTGGACGCTAGGGGTTCGTCAGTGGGGTCATGGATGTATGTAGCTGAGGATTCCCATACTAGAACTAAACAATCATCTAGTACTTTCAGGTTTTCAACAGTGGTCAAGTTTGTGATTTATCAGTTTGTGATTTAAACTTGGAAAACTTCATGTTTTTTTGAAAACAAAGGGCTTCACTTAGTCATTGCTCGCATTCAGATTGTCGGATATATAGACCTAAATATAGATACGAAAATTAATGAGTTCAATGGAAGAAGAAAGATAGTAAATGTTTTGGGAAAAAGAATATGAATGATTTAGTATCGTAGAGATTCTGTTAAGGGTGGACAAAGATGAAACATATCCACTCCACTTTATTGTATTAAAGTTGTATTACTTAATATTATTAAGTAGTACAATGTATTTATCTCAATTTAATTTCATACTTACTTGAAATGCCACATGTGTGTCTGGATAAAGTTGTATACCATCTCTTCTGTCATCTGAAGGTGGTGGTTTATTAAATTCTCTAGTACACGGAACAATACGTTCTTTACCAACATGATAAGTAAGAGAAATTCTTTCTTCAGCTATATTAAATATTTTTTCAGCAATATCTTCATCTGCCTCAATTTCTTCGTTACGTATAAATCTCTCAATGATTTTATCAATATTTAATTGACTAGTTGTAGATAATGCTAATTCATCTGGATTATCTTTATTTTGAGTTGGTGCTGGGCCAAATTTCTTAACTTTAGCACTGAAATGTACTTCACGATAATAAAGGCGATCATGTCTATCTTTGAAATGTTCTATCATTGTATTGAATGTTTGTTCACGTTTATACAGGCCATCAGTTCTAGCATCATGATTAAATATCATATAACGTATAGTATGTACACCTTGTTGTGTCTTATAATAACCATGTTCAATCAAATGACTCGTTTCACGACCATGATCAAATTTATCAACAATCCAATTTGTTTTTAATATCGTATTACGACTGATTAATTTATCTTTACGATTAGCATAAGTTTCTCTAATTTCAATAGGATTGGTTAATTCACGATCTTGGAATATTGTTAACTTTAAAATTAAACCATCACATTGTGAATATGGTGCAAAATTTTCTACAGTTGAATATTTATATTGTCTCTTTTTTAAACCATTCGGATAGCGTAATTTAAATAATTTCTGTTCAATCTGAATTGGTAAAGTCCATGATGGTGGTAAATCTAGTTGTAATGGTTTATTTTCTGAATTACTTAATGATTTAACGTGTATAGTTCCTCGAACTTGATGAGTACTATCAATTAAACAATGAGCATCATTATCATTTAAATTGAAACTTGAATTATAATTATTATTTTTTGATTTTAATGAATTGGGTACGATTAATAAAGGTGATACTAGTTGATTAATAGTAGATGTTTTACTGTACATTGTTGATTGTAGATTGAACATATCTGGACGTTGACTACTTGGAAATCCTGTCCTTTCGATAGATAAGCTATCATTAGGTAATAAATATTCCCAGCACAGACTATCATTTAGATTATAATTTAAATGAGATATACCAGTTGAACAATCTTGCATATTCACCCAATAATTATGATCATTCCACAAGCTTTCTATGCCTAGATACATCGAACAATCTAAAGGCTTAGCAAGACCTGTCAATGTTTCAATGAAAAATGCTTCAGGTACTTCACGTTTTCCAGGCAATATTAGAATCCATGCATGTATTCTAAGACCAAATAATGGATCAACAGTTGGTTTATAACGTTCTTCTTCAGCCAGTTCTGCTTCTTTTTTAGCCTGTTTAACACGTTCCGCTTCAAACTGTAAATCTTTCAATGTCATAGCGTGTTCATATTTTGATGTCAAGTCTTTTTCTGGTTTGATAATATATCGTTTTGGTTCAAATTCTTCGTTTTTCACATCATCAGTAGTTTTTTTTATTTCATCTCCAATAAGATATGGACATGTTTCTCTAGTTTCATCCATATAACAACATTCTCTAGTTGCATAACCACTGACTACATATGCATCATAACCAGCAGCTATTAAAAGTGAACATAATAATGTAGCATATTCAAAACAAGTACCTTTTTGCAAGTTGACTGTTGTCATTGGACTTAAAAGTCTTTTAGGCAGTTCAGTTGATGGAACAAGTGGTACAAAGTTGAGAAAATCAGCAACAAACTTAGCTGCTCCATACCATAGGTATAATTCAGGATAATTTAAATATGTCTTACTCAATGTGGTACATACAAATTTCTGTATATCACATTCATTCATTGGTATCAGAAATAGTTTTGTTCGATCAGGACATAGATGAGCATATTGTCGACAGAAATTTTCACAATATTCTAAAAGTTGTGATTCTTTCAAATTATTTTCTTTATGTGATTGTGGAAATGTAGATACATCAAAGGATTCTGGAAGTTTATCATAATTATCAGGTAGATAAAGTGGATTTAATTCTTGACTACTATGAAATTCATCTAAACTATTAGTTTCAATGAATGTATCATTTTCTTCCAGTTGAATTCTATCGGATAAATTATTATCATCATCATCATTGCCACCAATATTTAGATCATTATTGGAATCCTTATTTATGTTTTCTGCACTATCTTGTGTTCGATTCAAATTCGATTCAGTTAGAATACTTAATTGACTCATTTCGATTAGAAAACACAATTAGCTCATAAATAAATGGGCTTTATCTTCTAAAAATATAAACATCAATAAATTTAGAAAATAAAAAGGGTTTATTGTAAGCATTGAAAAATTTACTTACTATCTTCATTTGATTTTAGACCATCATTTAAAATCCGGAAGCAGTAGACGATCGTTTCATCCTGTCGTGGGACTCCTCAGCAGTGCACATCCATGATCCCACCTTGCGAGAACGATAGATCTTGAGTTTGAATCTCGTGAGGCGGGATCGTGGATGCGCACTGCTGAAGAGTCCTATAAAAGGACGGAACGGCCGTCCAGTTGTTATATCCCGATAAGAATAATCAATGGTAACTTTTGTGATGCATTTATGGACCAATATTATGCGTATATTTTTATCGTATAATTGCTAAATAACTAAACTATTCATATTCATGTTCCGCTTATTATGAGCTTTATTTTGACCTATGAACTATTATTATACGATTTACCGTTCTTGAGTTATGCTCAGTCTATCAGTTACCGTTTCCCTTATTCACAGCCACATTTAACTGAATCTTGTATAAATGTTGCTTCCTATTTTATGGTACGATGTGGTCTGTCTGGTTGGTATGTACATCCAGTATGTTTGAAATACATGACTCATATTGCAGAGGCTGAGATTGGTGTTCTGGACTTAACTGGCTGGGCTAGGCAGAAACCAGGACCGATAAGTACTCTATACTGCTCGTATGGGTCTTTTGCGTCGTTGGTCCGATCGATAAATCACTGTTCTCTAATTGGTGGTATCATCACGTTATACATTAACAGGACACACAGGCTACAAGTTATAACACCAGTACTTCCGGGTTTTCTATGTTGGTCTAACATCAATCGGTTCATGATCTCAATCACAAACTTAATAATCTACATAACCCAATACTGATACTATCCTCAATATTTGCACAAGATTCAAGATATGATTAACTTGTAAAATCTTAAATTTTTTGATAATCTAAAACATTTTTAGTATTCTCTGAAGTAAAATATTATCGAGGCCATTAATCAATATAATCTTTATGAACTAAAAATAGTTCCAAGAATATATATCCTATTACTGAATACTTTGTACTTGAAATTTCTTTATACAGTACTAATCTATTATAGAGAATTGATATTTGTAATGACCAAAATAAACGATACTGTTTGGGCAATTTATTAACTGAACTCAGTCAGTCAGTCGGTAACAAGTGAAATTTATTTTTCACTGAATGCTTACTTCAGAGAATAGGGTTTTCAATCACCTATTACTCAAATATTTAAGTTTATGTAGAATTATTCCAAATAGACTAGAAGATACAAACAGCATTATTGAGTACTATGAATATGATTAAAGAATATGGAGCATTTTAAATAGGTAAAATAAGTGACTAGGGGTGTTCAAGATGTTGACTTTAAGTTCATTCTTAAATCTGCACTAAAATCTAATCAAACAAAAGATGGAGTGGTACAACATGAAATACTTAACATAAAAAATTGTCTACACCAGCTTAAACGATCTCATAACAAGCGGACATTTTAACTAGTGTACGCGGTTCGGACTACATAACATAGATACATCTGAGAAGTTTCAATGGTTGAGATCATGAGTCAATTGAAGCTAGGCCATAGTGGAAAATCTGGAATCACTGGACGGCCGTTTCATCCTATTGTGGGACTCCTTAGCAGTGCTTATCCACGGTCCTGCCTCGAAAGATTATAATCCAAGGCCTTCAGTCTCACGAGCGAGCGCTTATCCATCTGAGAAGCATAAATTTCGCTATCATGAAACTATTAGTTATATTATCTTAAGGTTACCAATCTGACTACGTGTTTACCACAATACTTAACATTTTATTCATCCAACAATGTTTGAAAACACTGCAAAGCAAGCTTTATTTCTATAACCCACTTCATGAAGTTATTGTCTGTTGGTTGAAGTCTTGCCATAACGTATAGACATCATGGTTGTTGTTTGCAAGATTTACTTAGTCTATGAATAAACATCTTAATAGACATTGGTCAAAACAAATCGTAGTAAAGCATGTATAGTATTTCCTTATATCTTTCCAAATTTTAGGTTTAAATGTCATTTTAGATCTATTTCCCAATTTTAGTCATTCTTCAACTATATTTCCCATGTATGACATTTTGTTTTTATTACCAATACTATTCTAATTCCTTTCATTTTTAAGTGTGTTATTTTTCTATCTCTATATTGATGTAAAATATGGTAACTTGAGCAGGTGGATGTTCATTCTCAGCTCTAATATGTTTAGAACTAACTAACCATTTACCTTGATATAGAATTCTCTCATTTTTGTTGTTCTTATTGTTGTTACAGATTTAATAAACAAATTTTATGCTGAGTTGTAGAATTTACAAATTATTAGTTAATGAGACCAAGCTATAAGAATATAACTTCATAGAGTAGTTGTATAAAATCAAATCAAATCATAATTACATTGACAAATACCTGATCACCTATATCGAATTACTGTTAGTTCATAAAGATTTAGGAGAATTTTCTTTTTTTTAAATTTAAATCAATCGCAAAATAATCATTTATGTAAGCAAAGTCGGATAGTGGCTAGTAGTGGAATTCAAAAAAAACGCGTTTCGTCTCATTTGGGACTATTCAGTTGAATGTGACTGCATTCCAGAGTTGATGTTCACTCCGAGACTCCAACTCAGTATTGACTTAAAACGCTTGTGACCTAAGGTTTTATCGAAGCAATCTGCATAGGATGCACATATGCCAACAAGAGACCGATCAATCACAGTTCTAAATAACATTGGGAAGACACAAGTAAAACAACACCGAGTGAATTTAATCCTTTATGTAGTTCTTAAGCAACTATTTATTTCATACACTGACGTACTTTGTATTTTCGTAAAAATAATGTCGTTTGATACCATTTACTCAGTAATGTTGCCTGAAAACTCATTTGGAACCTCCTAGAATTTCGAGGCTTGATGAATATAATTTTGAAAACGTTATTTGGCCTTCATCTTTTCCGTTTCTACTCAAGATTTCATGCTAACGCTCACCTCGTAGTGCAGTTAGACGATTTCCTCAATGTATGTCCTATCCACTTACAGAGCGTTTTCCTAAATTCCTCTTCAACTGCAAGCTGATTTGTTCTCTTCCACAGTAGGATGTTGCTGATGCTATCCATTCAACGGACATTGGGTATCTAGTGAAAACAATTGTTTATGAATACCTGCGCATTTCTGATAACGGTTGTAGTAGTTGTTGATGTTCCAGCTCCATACAGTGGAACTGTCTTGACATTCATATCGAAGATTATCACTCTGAGAACGGTTGATAGTTGTTAAAAGCTCTACATGATCTTCAACTGTACGAATGTTTCCGTTACCTTGCCATCCTTGCATTTGCATTTGTATCGGATCCACATTGTTAATCAGTAATGCTGATCAATCAAGTACGTGAAAGTTTCCACCTGTTCCAGAGATTCTCCATCAAGTGTGACTGGGTTGGTGTTCTCTGTGTTGTATTTGAGCATCTTGATTTTCCTCTTGTGCACGTTGAGACCTACTGGTGCAGAGTCTGCTGTTACACTGTTTGTCTTGACCTGCACTTGATGATGTTTATGGAATAGAAGGACCAGGTCATCTGCATAGTTTAAATCGTCCAGTTGTGTGCGAGCTGCTCACCCTATTCAGTGATTCCACTGAGATGTGGAGGTCTTCATAATCCAGTCGACCATCAGGAGAAAGAGAAACGGAGAGAGTAAGCAACCTCGTCTGACACCAGTACTCACTTGGAATACAACAATTGTTTCTCCTCCCAGAGCTTCCTGAACAGAATGTGGTGCATGTCTGCAGTCATTTGGATGTCTCACTTCAGTGCTTCAGTTGGTATATTTTCAGGTCCTTCCGCGTTCCCACTCCTGACTCGTTTGAGTGCCATGCTGATGGAGTGACAGCTATAGGAAGGTCTGTTTGTGCTGTTTCGATTTCCGATAGGTTCAAAGTAGCTGGTCTGTTTAAGAGTTCTTCAAAGTGTTCAACCCACCTGTTCCACTATTCTTGAATCTCAGTGATTGTCTCGCCTTCTTTGTCCTTGACTGGTCACCCAGGCGTACAATATTTCCGTGCTAGTTTCTTCGTTGTATCATATAGCTGTCTGATATTTCCTTCTCTTACAGCCCTCTTTGCTTTCATTGCTAGGTGTTGCACATATTTCTGTTTGTCGACTCTAGTGCTCCTCTTCACATGCTTGTTTGCTTCTGTGTATTTGGTCTGTGTTTTGACTTCCTCTGTTCTTGTTCGACTGTTGTTAATATCTGACTTCTTGAATCCTATCCAAAGCCTCCATAGAGATCCATAAATTATGATGATGGTTCTTGCGGCCCAAAACCAAACCTTCTGACATGTTGAAAGTAGTGCTCCTTTGATGCATTTTCAATTGTCCTCTATAGTCGTTTCCTCCTTCAGTAGATTCTGTAAGGCTCGGAACCTGTTTTCGAGAGTTATCTCGAATTGGCTAAGTCTGTTAATATCTCGTAGAAAGGCTGTATTGAACCTCTGTGATGCTATTTCCACAACTGCCTAGTGTTTATTTAGCTTCAGTTTGATCTTGGCCACAACCACATGGTGATCTGAAGCTATGTCAGTTCCTCTCCTGAATCTCACGTGTTCCATTGACCTTCCAAATATTCTAGCGATGCAAATATTATCGATCTGATTCTCTATAGTGTGGTCCGGTCATATTCATTTAGCTTCGTGTGCGTGTATTTTGAGTGGGATAATATGACGCCTTTAACCGGTTTGTGAAATGCACACGAATTTGCGAGTGTTTCTCACTTCTATTTTTTCCTTCTCCCATTCCATGTCGAACCATAACATCTTCATATTTGGTGTTTAGGGCTCCCATCAGGTTATCAGGTATTTTTCCTAAGCGCTTAGCTCGACTGGAGTTTCTCGTAAAAGTGGTTTTCAGAGTTTTCATTGTTGACATTTGTAGGTGCATAGTACTGGATAACATTGATTTTGATTCCATTCTTCTTTGAGGAATGCTTTGATGATCCTGGATCCATGAGATTTCGATCCTACAAGTGTTTAACGTACTTCTTTGGAAGGTATCAGAGCTACTCTATGCGTGTACAGAGCGTTTACGTCTTTATAATCAGAGTAAAGCAGCATTCCTCCCGAATCTATTCTGTTCTATCTGACTTGTGTCCTATGATTTTCACCTGTTCCGAGAACCTCGGAATTATATCGCTTCATTTTTGTAGCTATTTTGTTGATGCCGTCGGTTTGCTACATTGCTTAAACACCCCACGCACCTGAAATACTTGCTGCTCTGGTTGTTTGAGGGGTGTTGGTCTCGTGACTTCCGAGGAATCTTGGCTTTCCTCACAAGGCGTCGTATTTTTTGTGAACGAAAATCCTTCAACTCGGAGGGCAGAGTTCAACTGGTTTAATTTGTTTGTCCTGGTTAGCATTTTCGGCAAGGGCATTTTCTATGGGATCGGAATGCTGACCTCGTGCCCAACCCTCCTTGTTTTACCCGGACTTGTTAAGCATTACTAAACAAAGAATCTATAGGGATCGGTTGGAGAACTGACGGGAAGCTGGAAAAAAGACGGGCATGTACTATTTATATACAGTAGTGATTCCTTCGCACACTGTTCTACGCTTATCACAAATTCTAAATGCAATTAGTTCAGCCGTGTTCATACAGTTTTGTCTGTTCTGACTTGGACTATTCTGGGAATTCTTAGTTAGCATATCTATTAGACTAATCCTAATAGTTACAAGGAAGCTAAAAGTTAATACGTTTTTCTAGACATCACTTGGCTTGCAAAAAACGTTTCACACCCATGTTTTGACTACATATTTAACACCCTGAAAAATGGGGTAGCTGTCGTGTGACCTTCGTCTGAATATCATAAAGTACTTCTGAGAGTTTGATGCAGAATAGCACTATTTAAACCTTCATGTTCTCATATGTAGTGCTGAACTAAAAGAAATGTCCGCCTATCTACCACGAAATGCTCGTAAGCTTTCCAATCTTTCATCAAGCATCATGAGTCAATCTGTCTATCCTGTCGTAAACACGTAAAGTGTAGGGCTTTTGGAAAACGTTGAAAGCGGGACGGTTGCAATCCATAATATTTATCAGAAACCAAATAGGATTGTAAACAAAACTACTCTGTGCAGAATGTATCGTGATTTATAAGTAAAGGTTAGAACAAACTCACCAAAAATGGTTGCATCAATAAAACGTATGACGAAGAAACTAAAGACACTTAACTTCTCTGATTCCGAGAATATTCAAACAGGAATACTGGAAAACATTATTGTTATAGCTAACTAATCAGAAAACTCATGTTAAGGCCTAAACGAAAATGATAATCAAGATCGAGTAGCTCTTGTGAGTAGTGCTTTGAGGTTTTTGGCACATAGCTTGATAGTTAATGAAATCTTAAGAGCCTTTAGCCTATTCTACTTGTATAAAAACGGGAGACAAATGTTTATCACCGGAACCGGTTAAGGATTTCATAGCATCTGAAAACGTGTATTGATCAATACAATTTTTCAAATGCCAGGATCAGACTTATCGATAAGTCTGACCGTATTAGTTATGGCGAATTTAATCAACTATTTCACCCACTTATTTCTATATATATCTAGAAACTTAAAGAAGTGTTAAAACGCTTTCTCTGTTTACTTTGTTGAGTTGTTTCTGGCTTTCATTTCTGTTTTATTGTGATTTAGTGAAATATGAATTGAACTAAGTCGTGATTTCATAATTGTGTGGTCAAAGCAAAGCACTATTTTGATTAGTGTAAAAAGAATTGACCGGGAAACTTAAAATGTGACAAAACGGGAAACTTTACTGAGTCGGTAAATCATATGAATGAACTCTTCCTAGTTCGAAAAGGTTCATTTACTCGTAACATGACAACCAATATCTAATGTCCAATATCTTTATCACAAACTCGTATACAATATCTTATAGATGTGTCGCGAGCGTTTGTGAGGCAGTTGATTTCTTGATGCTCGCTAATTGTTGTTTCCGCACCGTTTTGGACTTCTGCACATCTCAAATGTGTGATAGTCCAGCCACACGACGACATTGTGGAGACATGCCTGACAAGCTTATTTTGTAAATAGTTTTTAATGTTATTTGTATTTGTCCTGTCAATTTCCCACTGCATGTACGTTTATCATTAAATGATTGTACCTGTCGTTTAAGTGTATGACCTTGAACACTTTTTTCTTCTGTTGTGTTACACGCATAGCATGACATACTGTTGATCGCTAACAAATACATTGTTGAGCACACACCTCTCGTTCTGCATTCACTCGTATTTACGTTAACCGAAGTCTAAATCAAACACCATCTACCTTTACAGACTGTAATTGGAATATACCATACACTACGCTGGATCATATCATTGGGGAATCCATCAAACTTACTGGAATTATTAACCATCTATAATTGTGGATATTGAATACCAGATCAAATTAGAACACGCACTCTCCAGGTGAACTAAGTAACGTTCCTTATTTCTATTGTGTTCATAACATTTAACTTATATATATATATAATTTCCTATTAATAACTCTGTTATTATCTTTTGGGTCAATATATTGTCTGGTCCACCACAATTATCTGGTGATCCTGGGGTGTATTATAGTTATATTCTTTATATTTTTACTTGAAACACTAGTTTTTTTCACATCATGTACTCCCCAAATAAACTTATCGATATGGAGTGTCCCCCAGTGAATCCCCTCGACGATACGAACACCACACTCAACATCCAGCAACAATTAACGCAGTTAACAACTCAGTTAGCATCATTACAGGCTACTATTGCGAGTATCCATTCTCAACCAAATAGACCCATTTCTAGAGAAAGAGCATTGTCAAGAAATTGCTCTAGGTTTCCCAAGCAGGCAGTTGTTATTTGTTTATATCATTCGAGGTATGGCACCAAAGCTGGGTGTTGCATCTACCTTATATGTGATTTTCATGAAAATCCATGCATGCTGTGTATTACAGTCTTTTTCGTATGCTTAAAGCAAAATTGTCATTTACGTGCAGTTATGAAATAGGAAAATTCTGTTTTTTTGAGTAAAATATTTGTTTAGTTCGTCATAATTCCGCTTGGTGCCTTTCTATGCTTGATGCCTGACCAAAGAATATAAAAGGAATTTTGATTATGTGGTCAATAATCTCTTTCTATGAAGTAAAACCCTGCTGATAAAAATCATTGAACATAAAACTACAGAAGGACTACTGAAACTTTGCACTGACAGTGAGGAGGTTTTAGTTTGGACGAATGACAAAGCTTCATGTTGAGATTCGTGACTCGTTGAAATTTACAAGCTTAATGTTTTTCCTAACAACCAGAGCAACGATCAAAATGGATACATGAAATTTTCGTATGGTGTGAGAGCATTTGGGGGCCGTTTGAATAACAAAAGAATATCACATTTACATTTTGACTCTTTTTATGATTATTGAAATTGAGTGAACGAAAGGTGATCGAATGAGACTAGCTTTACGAGAGGTATTATTGTAGTCTGGGCAGAATGTAGTAATTACCTGGAGGACAAAATATTTCGCGCTGCTGCCCTATGAAAAGCGCGAAAACTGCTTGTGCTTTTGAATCACATGACTTCAGGATCATCGAATCATGCTTCAAAGAAAGACGGAAAAGTGATAGTGTGTGTTTACCGAGTGTTGCACGAATGCTTACGATTCCGTAGTTGATGAATATTAGTTTTACATGAAATCGTACTAGATCGTATAGAAATATCTACGAAAAAGCTTCGACAACCTGATAATGGACCTAAACATCGACTCCTCGTTAGGTGAGACAAGATATGAATGAAGGAACTAGAGTGGTATAGTCTTCAGAATCTGTGAGCTTTCAACATGGTCATAGGTGATACCATTATACTTCATAAACACATCCACACGACCCTTGGAGATGGACTGAACCGAGAATACTTACGTTAGCCGTTAAACACTTGGATAAGGTTAATAAAAGTCGAAGAGGGCATACACAATCGGGATGGTATCACTAGCACTTTTAGGTGTGGCCATTCCACGTCTCCCCTTACATTTTACATTGAGTTTCGTTATTTTTATGGAACGACTTATCCAAGTGCTTTGAAAATCCATTTTGGATTTCATCAGAAGTGAAAGGTCACTTAGGAGTGTCAATAATGTTTACATAATATCCAACATTTTTAAACAGGTTCTGAGATATTTGGAGGAATATTAAGTTAATGTTAATGAAAGAGAGAGAAAATATAGATGAGTAAACAATTTAATAGAAATCTTAATTAGAGAGAATACGGATGAACTTTATCATAAATACTGCGCATAGAATTTAGTGTCGTCCCATTTCCATCTTGAATATGTGCCGTGATGTTTCTATAAAATTCACACTGCTGACTGTCATGATAAAACGATTCAGTGTGGAAAATTATGTGGCTCCTATGTGGGCTTTTACAGATTACGTAACCACATCATAACATATCCGCAATATTGGGTTAGGTCTACTGTTTCAATAGCATAGATAAGCTCACTACTACCAGGCTAGACCTAAATCCAATAAAGCCACATGGGTTTTGCCAGATTATATAACGGAGAACCGTGCCAGTCACGTCTGTACCGTCAAATAGTTTTCAGAGCACCTGAAAAACATAGGACCCAAGATAGGAGCACGTATAGTTTCAGATCATCACAAAACGGTTATAAATGGGACTATATTCCTTAACAAACGCATATATAAAGCTAAAAGTATTTCGCCAGACCACACTACCTGGAACGAGATCGACTACGTTTGTATCAGTAAAAGATATGAGAACACAGAGTAGCTTATGTAACTTCGGATGGCTACTTAGTGGTGGCTAAGTTAAAACTGAAGCTAAAGAAGCATAAGACTAGAGACATCACAAAACTTTGTTATGGCCTTCTTTTGCGATGCTAGCGAACTCATTGACACGAGATAGCTCTCAGTAGTAAGCTCAATTTTTTAAGGGATAGGTAGTGGCATCGGATCCTAACCATAGTCTGCAATGTTGAACATGAGATAACTGGGAAAATAGACTTTCACTATGTAACACTAAGAGAAGGTCAATAATTGTGGACACGGTAATGGAATTCATCGGATGGCATGGCTCGGCATTGTAGGCGCGACCAAGCCTTATGTAAATATGTACCGTTGCCTTTACTCATATTAAGTGTATTGTTTTCCCTTCGATTTAAATGTGTTCTCCATCATATGTTGGTGACTGTTACCATACAATGAGTCAGTGTAGACAATGACGTGACCCCCATGTAAGATCTTACAGATTAGACGGTTACATCATGATAAATCTACAATCTTAGGATTAGGTCTACTATTAGAGCAGTACTAATAACTAAGTAGGCCATAAATCACATCGGTAAGCCCGACGAGAAAGTCAAGAACTTATTATGGGAAACAAAATGGGGGATAGCAAAAAAGCAATAACTTCAACGTATTAGGTTATGATATGTAGCCAGGTACAGCAGACAGTGTTAATCTCTACTTATACCCCGAGGAAGACCAGAAAAAGGGAGGAAAAGAAGCCAGAAATAAATGGTACCCAAACAGTAGCAGTAGAAGCTAGGGAACAAGCCGAATACACAAAGACAAACAGGTAGGTGAACTGAAAAACTGGAGCTGATGAGTAAAATGTGTGGATGACACAGCATAAAGAAAAGAAATAGTAGCAAGGTATTAAAAAATGTAAAAGAATTATGTGACACAACATGGAAATTAACTGTAAAATATGATATACCAGGGTGAACAGTATAGAATAAACAAGGCAAACTAATCGCTGAGATTGCAGATCAACAAACCAGGTGGGCAGAACGTATTGAAGAGCTCTTAAACGGACCGGAGACATAGAAACCATCGGACGTTAATGGGCACACACAGATCTTCCTATTGATTTTACCCAATCAACAATCGAAGAAATCAGCCTTCAGACATGGTCGAAATGGGGCAGCTGGATCAGGTAGCATACTAGCTGAAGCATTGAGGTTCGACACACTCCGCTGATAATGTATTCCACGTCCCCTTCCTCAAGAGAAAGCACTTGACAGCGTGGGTAGGAGACCCTTATGGAACCTCCCCTGACACTATGGGCCGAGTATCTGATAAGACCATTACCATGAAACGGAACTAGTACGGTGGGCTCGACGTAAAGTTATGCATAAGGACAACCTGCAACAGTCAGCCTCAAACAAATTACAGTCGATGGTGACGCTTTGTAAGAGGCCGAAACGTTTACGTACCTAGAAAGTATCACTGATAAAGAGGGTCTGGTACAGATGTGAAAGTAATGACAAACACAAGAAAAAAATATCTGAAAATGACGAAGACTCAAGACTCGGAAAAACTGCCACACATCAACAAAGTCATGTTTTTTTGGAAAAACATTGTAGCGGTAAATAAATCCCCAAAATAAATAGCCCTGTAAGTTTTCGACATTGGACGCTGACCGCATTAGTTTTAATGGACTCATCTAGCTGAAGGCGCTCGGTCATGCATCCGCACCAGATCACGTGTGGGAACGCCGTGCTCAACATCTACCGCAATCGCTAGCCGGATTAGTTTGGACGATCCTCGATATGTTGATAGCCTATCAAATATATCTTCGAACCTCCTCGCTTATGTCTTTTGATTTCACTTGGTGGGTACGCTTCATATTAGAACGTGTTACTGGTTAAAGCGTTGTCAAACTCCGAATACCTGTGGCATCTTCAACATCAAAACGAAACTACTGTATGGAACATCTAAAACAACACATGGCCACAATGTACTGGACGAGAGGACAATTTAATTATTCAGTGCAAAATTGCAGAGTTCTTTCGTAATGTGCGTAAAACCCTGCATCAAATACTTCATTAGCAAATCTTCGATTAACTGTATTAAACTTAATCGTTCTTTTATTGGTGTCATTATCACTCTCTGCCTACATTCTCCTTCCCTTCAACGAGAGTGGTAGAGGCTAATGGTGAATGACCACTGGGAGATAGTGAAGAATATTAATCAGGATGCTATCCTACATAACGCACCTCATGTAAAGTGGATATCTTGCATGTAAAGATCCTTGTTTAAGCGAGTCACAGAACGATTGGTATAGGCTAAATGGTGTGCCTTGCATAGTGGTAGAGTCCATCCGAAGGATGCTGACCGTAGCTGTTACTTGAAACAGATGCCACTCAGATGCTATGCCAAAGTCAGAAGCGGTAGGAGGGACAAGCTAGCATCCAAAATGCAAGCTAACCACAAATATCTCTACAGATTAATGACTAGGTGAAAGCCTACGAACCACAAGATCTGTCCTCTTAGAGGGCAAAATGGCTATCACACTAGCTCAAAGATTGCAGAGAACTTTGATGCCAACCTCGTTGACCAACAGAACCAGGAGCCCGTAAGTGAGGAACACTTCTCAGCTGTGGTGCCAGTTGAGAGTTCAACAAACTCCCGGGTCAGTATTAAAGAGGTGGAAATTTGTGGGCCCAGGAAAGTCACTTGGATATGACAACACCCGATATATAATCGTGAAACAGTGCGTGGAAGCTATCAGGCACTCCCTAGATTCACACCAATTGCCAAGAGAATGAAACCAGGTCACCTCTCCTCAAACCATCGAAGGAGTGGTTACAGACCAGTCTCATTACTTTCAATGCTGTTAGAGACGACTAGTGGATAAGTGAGACAACGCACAGATTAAAAAACATCATCCATGAAGCCCTACACGGGCTCAAAAACAGCAGGTCCTGTGCGTCTAGTTTCCTCATGGCATGAGGAAGCAGGATGAGCTGCTAGGGATACATGAAACGGGTTCGTGTAAAGCGAAAAGGATTCACTTGAGCTTCAAAAGGAACTTGCAACAATAGAAGAATAGGCAGTAGACAGCCGGTCAGAACTTAACTTGTCGAAGTGTCACATCATGAACATTCTGTTACATTTGATACAAAGCAATTACACCTTCGGAGCGTGATCCTGGGCTCTTAACCACAAAGTACATAAACACCTACTCAAACTTCATAGGGTTTGCAGCCAGTGCAAGACACAGCTGTTCATTTTATGAGAAGTCACCCCAGAGTTGTTCCTAACACTTTAAAAGGTACGCACAGCCGCACCCCACGGTTTACAATTCCGTTGCTCTCCCTCTTTTCGAAAAACATATAAATCTCTTAGAACACGTACAGGGACAAGCGATCAGGTGGTTGGTAGATTTAGAGAGTAAATTTCAAGAAGATAGGCTCCAAAACCAGGAATTATCCTCGCTCAGCTACAGCAGAATATGAGGTAATCTCTTAATATTATATAAGACACTGAATATGCCAAGTCACTCCGACATGAACACCCAATAAGAACATCACCATCACACGCTGCGAAGCAAACCCAGAAAGTTGCACATGAAATACCGAAAAAACCGGGTAAGATCCCAGTTTCTCACACTAAGAGTTGTCTCCCCTTGAAATACTTCCCAAGCAGAAGTGAACACAGCTCCACAAATGATTAGCTACAAGAGGAGAATTCACTAACAAATACTTACTCATGGATTACCATCTGCCTCCTGGACCAGCTATGCTTCGAGCATGTCTCATAATTTACCTACTGTTATTATTATCACATATCAGTAACTACTTCCTACCTCCCATATTATCATCTCCGTTTCCACTCGAATTCTTAACCCCAGTTTTCTCACACTCTCTCAACTACCAATTAGTTAGTACACAGTACTTATTTAACTATTGAAACAATCGTCTTCTATTAATACTCGAATTTTTACTCCGTTATCTTACATACTACGAGCAACCGGACAACCTGACTGGTAATGTGGTAACTGCTGGTGCCAAGAAACCCCACTGCCTTAAGACAAACGCACTCAAACCATAAGATATAAAACCCATAAATATCTACTGACAAAATGACTAGAACTAGTGAAGTTGAGTGGTTAAACTACCAATCATTAAACACAACCGAATACTTGGAGTCTTGCGAAACAACAAGAAGCGAGCGCAAATGAACCGATCAATTTACAAAAGCTTTTCATATATTCATTGGATATTGTAAGGGTTCTAGGTCAAACTGGAGGACCGCAAACACAAATGAGTTAACATTGTTCGTTGTCAACCCTTCGTAGTTTTGTGGGTAAGGCTGACCATTAAGTTTCCTTCATTCTGAGAGTATATTAGTGTGTGCTATTTTTATCTGCAGATTATGGAATAATCAAATAAAAATGTGATGAAATTACTAGATGACCAACAACCTTGAGCCATATATGGCTCTAGAGCCATTACTATATAGTAATGTCTAACTTGGTGAATATCCGTCTTAAGGCCTATGGGGTTCTTAACCACTAAGCTGCAACTTCATAGTAGTGGGTTATGGTCCTAAGGTCATGAATCAATGTCATCCCAAGACCCTTGTGAGACCGGACTACTGGTACAGACACTCCCTGTACGCTGTACCTATTTACCTTCGTGTCCCCAAAGTGCATGTGGACACACTTGGCCGCGTTGATAAGCATCAGCCAATTTTTAAACCAGCTAATCAGAATATCTAAGTATGCCTGAAGTGCGCATGCGTCTGCGTCTACTGTCATTTTTCACCAGGCCTTCATATCATCAGCGTATATTAGCATTGGGGACAGCCATAGTTGAGGGTTCTTCTACATACTGTATAAAAACTAGATGACTTAGGACAGAGCTTTGTGGTATCCCACTAAATACTGGTTTCTAGTAAGAGCACTTGGGATTTTTTCTTACTTTCTGCCTACCAGGAAGTCATTAAGCCATTTTAGAAAAGATCTGGCCATACCGGGATTTTCCAGCTTCAAGGGTAGTTTACTTTTTGGTACCCTATCAAATGCTTTGTTGAAATCTATGTGGACAACACCCACTGATTTTCCATTATCTAGAGTGTCTATCCATTTCTCTCATGCTATAACGAGATTTGTTGTGCAAGATAAACCTTTCCTGAAACGATGTTGTTCACTGGTTAATAAGATGTTTCTTTCCACGAATGTCATTATGGTCTTTTTGATCATTCTTTTCAGTATTTTAACTACGACACTGGCGAGACTGACAGGTCTGTAGTTTGATGACAGTTGGTTTGATCCTGTTTTATGTATTTGAGTGATAATTGTATCCTTTCAGTCTATAGGAAACTTACCTTGGCCAAGTGACATTGAATGTCGTAGTCAATGGGGCAGCAATATAATTTGTAAGTTGCCTCAATATTTTCGGATGAAGTTTATCCGGTCTTGCTGACTTTTCTGTGTCTAGGGTGTTAAGGGCCTTAAGAACATCGTCTCAATTGAAGTCCACAGTGAGCAGACGAGTTTTTTGACTTTGTATTTGGGTCTATATTTTCGTCTGTAAGGTGCTTCTGTGTGCAAATTGTCGCGAAATAGTTTGCCGTATCCTCTGCTTTTTCCTGATCATCCTCTGTCATTTGAGATCCACTTTGTTCCGTAATTAAGCTAGGAATCCAATGCTGCGTCCTTTTTCTATAATTTATATACGAGGATAGTCTCTTAGGCTGCTTGATCGCAGATCGGGATAACTGGTTTCATGTTTTTTCTGAGCTTCTCGGGTCGTAATCATACACTTGGCTCTTACTGACCTGTAGAGTTCCATCGTATTTACTGTGTCAAGGCTATTGGCGATGTTCCAACATTTCTTCTTTTGCCTTAGTAAACATCCAATATCCCGGTTTATCCAGGGATGGCTGCGCCTCTTCTTCGGGACTATCTAGGGTATGAATGGTTGAGTTACTTGATTGCACAACTGCCGAAAATGAAACCATGCATCTTCTACTGATGCCTCTGAGTCAATTTTCCAGTTTTCAACCGAAGCTGCAGAGATAATCTCATTCATTTCTGCCTTCTATATGTCAGAACGGGCCGGTACAACTGTTTGACAGACCATCTCAACCATGAATTTGAATAAGATTATTGCGCGATCACTGCTTCCTAAAGGTGGAGGAAAGTTATTTGATTGACATCATCCCCGTGTGTGAAGACTAGGCCCAAGAGAGATGAGTTATGTAGGTCATATCTAGTTGGATCTCTAATGTGCTGGAATAAAGCTGGGGACATTGCAGTTTCTAACAATCTGCAATCGAATGATGTTGATATCCCTACTTCTAGGTTTCCCCAATTTATGTACGGTGCATTAAAGTTGCCTATTATAAGGCTTTTACTCCTATTACATCAGGACTTAATTTCGCTTAGAAGGAAGTCACCCACTAAACATTCTGGACTACGGTATACTACAAGTAATTCAATATCTTGCCGCCCACATTTCACCATGCAGCGCATCAGTTCACACGTCCCCGAGTCGTGTACCACTGTCTCGACAGTTCGTATGGTTAATGTGCTTTTCGCGTATAGGATAACCCCATCACACCTACGGTTTAGTCTATCAGTCCTGCTAGGTAAGAAACCAAGCAATCGAATTTCACTATCATACACTTCTGACGTCAATCATGTTTCTGAAATGTCAATCACATCAGGGAATTCAGTGTCCACCACTGGTTTGAGCCCCGCCATTTTATTAGGCAGGCTGCAAGCATTTGTATAGCACACCTTTAATTCTGTAAATAACTTTCCCTTACCACCCAGAGTGGTTTGAGGATCGTTTCGGTCCAAACGTCTACACTGTGGAAACCCTTAAGTGTAAGTTTTTTTCACCGTTCCGGCGGCACTCATTTATTTCTACCTCTGTCGCCCCCAAATACCCTGGTACGACCGAGGGTGGAGATAGTCCACTCTCCTCGAAATGCTCGCAAATGGCCACGTACATACAAACACTGCCAGGGAAGTCCTACTCACTGTATTCTCACAGCATTATTGTTGTTTACGAAATTGAGAGGACGAAAATCGAATGTCCGGCAATTTAACCGGGTTGGTGGACACGGACAGTTCACCTAGGGGAGTTGGAAAACCCTGATTCCAAACCAATAGTACATATGGCCTCCCGTATCCTAAAGAAACAAATGGCATACAAACCAATTGTTGGTCACCGACTATCATGGGACTGCATCTCCTAACGTTACTTCACTACCTTGTAGATTAGACTTTTTAGGTCGAAGGCTCAGGGTGTGGCCACCTAAGAAACTCACCTACTTCGGTTTGAGCACCCAGGCAGTATTTCAGCCCTCACACATATCAAATGATTTATGTGGCACATATCTCTATTTGGTGCGTTTTTGTACTAATGTTTATGCGTTTAAATAATAAATAATAAGAATAAGTCTTAATACGACCAACCAGTCTGAGATCCTCACGGACATCTACTCCGGACCCAGTCAGTTTGTGTGCGTTTTCCAGTATAAGGTGTCTTCCTTCAGCAGGAGCTAAGGTAAATTTTGAGGCAGCTTTTCTACGCGCTTTTGGAGTCCACTTTTTCTCTACTGTACAAAGTTTATAGATGTTAACTTCTACCGTTTCTGGAAGGAGTTTGCTTATTAAGGTCTTAATGTGGCTTAGGTCATGTTCGAATCCAGCCTTTGGTTCCTTTTTGGAAGATTCTCTTAACTTATGAAAAATCACTGACTTGTCAGAGTGACACGTCTTAACAAGCTGCGAGGTTTTGCTCCCTAAAATATCCCCATCTCTGCGGTTCAATTTGAAGTCAGACACGAAGGTTTCACTTTGTTTCCTTACTTTTCTTTTCCGGGTGTAACTGTAAGTAGTTCATCGACCTTATTTTGTCTCTTGGTCACATCATCTACACCACTCATGCTTTGCTCCTCAATATTCTATTTTGTGTTGAGATGTGGATCCGGACCTGAAACCATCGACTCACATATCTTAGAGCTCCCTATAGTTTGTTTTTTCTCAGCATGCTTTTTCTTTTTCCGGTAACCATGCCTACATCTGTAAGTTTGTTATTCGCTACGCTATTTGGGTCCATCTTAATGGTTTCATTAAAATCCAAAGTTGGACTCATGATAATACTCGCTGGTTCCTCAAAAACTGAAAACTGTTAATCTACTGCTGGCTGTTTATCTGAGGACATCTTTTTAATTATGTTCAGCAACTCAATCACCTCAAAACTCAGTAGACACTTTATGGAGCAGCATGCTCTTCACAGTCAACGTGATAGTGGGTTGCAGCACCTTTTATATGCAGCCGGTGTGAGTCCGGTACACATGTTGTGATATCACTTGTTGTAGTTGTCACATTGCATTACATCCCAGATCAGGAAAAGACACGCGGGTCTACCACAAAGATGTTTTACTTTCATCATAAAATTGTTTAGTGATCTCACAAATAGAAGAACAAAAATTTGATCTATAGAATAAGTATTTTTTTAAGACCCTAAATGTAACAGACACTGAACACAAGATGCTGAGGTTTATGTGTACTGTAACTGAAAACAAAAATCAGACGGAAATAAGTACAAAAAAACCCTTTACACCTTTGAGTACAAACAACACTGAAAAGTTTACTCAATGAGGAGAAATGCCATTGCTCGTTTTGTTTCTGTACTCAGAAAGTACAGATGATAAATTACTTTGGAACCAAAAATGATACCCTTGGTTATTTCTTTATCTCTTCATTCCCTAATACATTTGTTTTATTCATAAATAACTAAATCAAATGCGTCAAAATATATGTACTTAATCTCTAAACCTGTCACCTTAACCTTTGTTTTAAAATTTTTACATTATTCCATGCATCAAAATAGCTTTCAGTATGTTTGTCGGATCACTATGTAGTTACGAGTTTAAACCGTTGTTGAATTACTACTTTGCATTCGTTTTAACTTAGTTTTCTACAGAGGTCAAATACTTCCAAACATATTTTAAGGGAGATGCTAAACAATATGAGGTTAAAAAAACTCCATAACCGATGTATTTCAGTTGTTAGACCCTAATTCCCTGGTACGGCCGAGAGTGGAACGAGTTCGCTCTCCCTCTCGAAGTGCTTTCAAATGGCCACGCGTATATAGCCTCTGCCAGGAAAGTCCTACTCACTGCCTTCTCTTGGCATTACTGTTGTTTACGAAAATGAGGGGACGAAAAGCGAATGTCCGGCGCTTTAACAGGATTCCAAACCAGTGGTGCACATGGGCTCCAGTATCCTGAAGGAACAAATGGCGTATGAACCAATCGTTGGTCACCGGCTACCATGGGACTGCATCTCCTTACGATGCTCCACTGCCTTGTAGATCAGACGTTTAGGTCGAATGCTCTGGGTGTGGCCCCCTAAGAAAACCACCTGCTTCGGTTTGGGCACCCAGGCAGTATCACAGCCCTCACACATATCAAATATCTGTGTGGCGCATATGTATTTGGTGCCTCCTTGCACTAATATCTGTGTGTTAAAATAAACAAGTAAATAAATAGTTGTTTTCTTTACTTTTTTATCCCAACAGTAAATGCAATATCAATAGGTACTAGTTTTTATATTCAACTTCAGGTCAAACTTTTATCCATGTAAACTGTTTAAACTAAATTGGAGTTCGTACCTGTACTGAAATATTTAAATGTCGAGTGCTTTAATTAATTAGTTATTTCTATAAGTACTTATCGAAACCTTTGTATTTGCATTTATAAGTTGTCCATCGTTCTCGGCAAATGATCTTATCAACATTTCCCTTTTAAATCTAACCACAATTTGTTTTAGTGTTCACTTTTAAACTTGAAACAAGGTTACCATTTATTTGCTTAAAGTGTTGCGTTAACCTTCCGTTAATTTCTTTATTATCCAAATGTTCGTTTGTAGGCTTATAAATTGGTTAATTTTAAAATCGTGACTGTAAACAAACAAACATCGTAATCATGATGTCGACCAAAGGTGACAAAGCTGTTGAAAGACAAATGCAAATGTTTGAAATCGAAATGATGCAACAAGTATTTACCAGTATGACAAGTAGCTGTCTAGCTAAATGTATTCCATCTAATTATAATGATGGTGATCTAACTAAAGGTGAAGCAGTTTGTTTAGATAGATGCGCCTCAAAATTTATGCAAGCGTATATGCAAACTACTAAAAAGTTATCTACAATGGCATCGTCAGACCCAAAAGTGGTAACCAGTAACTAGACTTTTTCAGGACATATTCTGGAAAGCTTGTTTTCTAAACTGAGGATTTAGATGTAAAGAAACATATTCCCTTGTTTTCTGTATTATATCGCGATTGTAAATTAGTTGTGTTTTTGAAATACAACTATGTCAAAATGAGTTTACATTCTGTGGTAAATTTCTCATGAAGAGCTAGTGAACTGATTGTTCAGATGAAGTGTTACTAGACAATTAGGTAGTCTGGTTTTGTAATGAACAATATTCCTCTGAAGTTGATGGTTCAATGTTTTATTCTGAAGTAACAAAACTGTAAAGTACTCTGATTGACCTGTCTTAAGACTCATTAATGTATGCTAAGGCCCCTTAGATTTCATGTTAAGATTTCAAAAACTGATTCCGAATCTACTTCTGAACGTTTGCAACCCTTCCCTTGTCACTTGAATTTAGTATTCAATTTATTATTTAGCTATTAAAATCCACTGAATACTTTGCTAAATGTAGTAACAGGTATGATATAATCTGTAATAACATAAGTTTTCTGGGGATAGAAATATTGGTCCAAAAGGGTTCGTGAATGTAAATAAAGGTCTGTGTTTAAGTAACAGTTTTCAGGGAAAATAATAAGTTTACACTTTACCTCCTTGATCAAATATCTGAAATTATGAACTTATAGTTGCAAATATTATTCCACCCTCTTAATATGTTTCTGTACTAAACTTTGTTTTGTCGTTGTAAGCATGAAATAATAGGTGAGTAGTTTTTTTCCCCATCATACTTAGTGTTGCTTTATAATAAAACACAAATTTATGAACATAGTTTCGTCTGATAACCGAAGAGAGCTCAAGTCTTTTTCTTGATCTTTTCTCAAAAATAGTGTTATAGCTTTAGAAATATGTGCTAAGTGGTTTAATGGTTGTTGTATATCTCTGGAGATCCGAAATGAATGCCGAAACTATGTCTAAATAATCCTGCGTTCAACTGGGACTAGCTCCAAGATGAGTTTTGCGTAGCTTTGATGAGTCTTTAGTGGCCCGTGATCTGACTCCAATTTGATCATATGAATGATTGCTATCGCCTATCCTCGTATATAATCATTGACTTAAATCGCGTTAGTTAATAACGGAATTAAATAAGTCAAATAACGAGGATGGAGTTTTGAATGCATATATTTTGTATAGTTGTTGATTAGACAAACGAACGGAGGAACGATGCGAAGATAAGAAAGCGAAGCTAAGTTGGCGCGTGGTGGAGATGGCTGGTAAGCCAACTCCCGCTTAACAAAGAGTTAATCAATATTTATAAGCCCACAAAAATAAATTACAGACATGTGATGAGTAACGGGATAAGAAGTGTACATACGCCTACGCGCTCATACAAAGACAGTCAAGATATTGATAAGCGAATAATTAACAAGGTCAGAATGTGACTCAAATAGAATGGGCTGTCCGAAAGTTAGAATAATAAGGTATTTGGGCTTAACGTAGTGACAGACACTACAAGTCGGATCCATAATGCAACTCATCATTATCAACTTATATTTCGGTGTACTTTCTTACAGCCAGAAAGCACTATTTCTTAAAGGAAATGAAAGCGATAATCATTTTATCTATCGTCTATCGCAGTTTTTTTATAAGCGATAAGGTAATACTCAATAAATTGATAGGTATTTATCTTCTTAAAAGCTGACCTAATCAGAAGATCAACAAAAGATCTCAGCAAATATATTCGGTAACTTTTCATCAAGCTTTACTACTACAATTAGATGATTCTGCTCGGGATACTTGAGTCGGTGTTTAGTGAAATCATAGAACGTTCACATGAATTGGAGAGTTGAGAATGATCATAATAAGGGTAGCAAAATTGTAAGAGTGTATATGTTTTGTTGGAAATTTATGCGTTAGTATCACAGAGAAATAGCTAGTTGGTTTCACTCGAGACATGTTTGAACTTTATTGATCGTGACTTCTCACTAGAACTTCATAAGCGCATTTTAAAGTCACTTGTGAGTTTGTTATAGTTTAGACGAATGGGTTATGTGGGGTCGAGCCATGATGGAGTCGTAGGTGCCTACTCCAGAAGAGTCCCATACTAAGGCGTAACATCTGTCTACTCGCTATCTGGTTTTCAGTAACATCCCAACTGAAATCATTTCCTGATGAATATCACCTAAAAAATAGGAACACAAGATTCTCAGTCGTAATAGTATGAATGCTACTTGTTAGTTGACGACTGGTCAATCAAGAGAGCATAAAGGTCACGCTAAGTAACCAATGGTAACTTATTGCAAGATATTGTGGATTATTGAATATAACTAATCATTTTGATGTCCGGTCTTTATCAAAACACCGACCCAAATAGATCTAGATATTTCACTTGCATTGTCAGCATTGACATTTATAGTTAAATCCATCATAAGATGCTTGAAAGTCAACCAGTTATTTAAGTGGAAGTTGCATAACAAACCGCTTTCAGACAAGACGTTTCCAAAGGATACTTGGTAAAGTTGTGAAGCTTTATCGAGTGTGTTTGTAAGTGTATGTTTTTGTATAATTCGTAACCCTTAATGCAGCATTAGGCTTGGTAAGGCAACTGATGAGTCCTAAGTACAAATTGCGAACTTTGTGTGAGTTGGTTGGAAATCGGAAACATTTGGACGAATGTATTCAATCCTTATTATCCTCTCAATCTTAAGCATTTTGTAGCGTTAATTACGTTTTTGTGCAGTATCTTTGAGTTTTGTTTAGTAAATTCTTAACTCTCATTATTCTTGTGGTCATGCCGAGTCGTAAGGTTTTGAGCAGTACTATACGTATATACATAATTTTCAGAACAAATTTATTTGACGTCTACAACAAGCAATCTCAAAGATCTTTCCACTTAGTGTGAATAATAAGATTCAGAGAGTCAACGTGTTCTGTTTTGTTTACCTGAAATACTACGGTTGTTAATTTTGATCAGTTGTAGTGTTTGTTCCTTCGAATTCCTAGCTTAATTGTATGGTGGTTGGAGACTCTGGCTTAGAATCGACCATAATGGCGTAGGTGTATACACTTTTCTCATTAAACAATGAGATTAAAAGTACTATATACGTTTCTTTCTACGAACTGATTCTCTCTGTACCATATCCTTATACGCATTCTTTTTATATGGTAACTGCTTCTATGGATTTGGTGTTTATCTTGTTGTGCTGAGGTATAGGAACTCGGACCAATGCATATATGTATTTGGTCCTACGTTGTAGATGACTGACCGTATGATGTCCACTTCTCAAGAAACATTTATTCGTCCAACTAATATTAGGTGACGTTAATGTGCTGTACTAGGTGCTGTTGTCATTTATGATTTGTACGTCAAACCTTCAGTCTATCATTATCAACATGGGGTCTGAAACAGGTTTGTTTTTTAACTTAAGTTTCTATACTACTTTAGCACGACAAGAAGTTTGGAAGACCAGTAGTAAAATATTCAAAATAATGTAATAGCGATGTTTATGCGATAGACTGGGTATTGAAAATATGCTTCGAAAAGACATAAAAAGATACGCAAGCAGAATTACTGTTACTCAAAACCAAGAGAGCATACACTTGAACCATTGCAATCGATTCTAACTAATGCCATGCAACATTGCTAACAGCTGTTTGTGGTTATCTTCTGGACACTAGCCAAGTGTCTTGGGTTAGTAAATAAGATGATCTTGTGAAATTCGATGAAATTACAGTAGATCACTGTGATAATCAAGCCAAATATCCTTTATTCCTAATAGGCGGCTCTCAAGTGAAATTTAGCCGAGAGATAAAGTTTTACGCTAATTTCTAAAATCAAAAGATGTAAACTATCTAGTGCTGCAGTAAATGTCAGAATGAATATTCTAAATTTAAAAACTTTGAATCGCGAGACCTTTAGGTGTTGGCTACATTTCAAAGTCACAACCAACATGAAAAGTGAGTTTTTTTGAGAATAGTTGGATCCAGGAGAAAAATATTTGGTAGAAACGTTTATAGTAATGAAGGGAGGAATAACATGATAAGTAAGGGTGATAAAAGTACTTTATTGAGGTAGAAGGATGAATGTACCTGATAAAATCTGTGGAGTATAACTCGTTACAACGGAATAAATTGAACTACCTATTCTTGACGAGTAGCATGATTTTAAGCAGAAAATGAATAGTCTAGAAGCGAAACTTCAAAAAACAATTTTCAAACATAACTTTGCTTCTTTCAACCACTAAAATAGAAATAGTTTCACAAAATTGATTAGACTTCATGTTGTATCTGTCTGTTTAGTTAAATTTCAGCTGGCAATACCTAATCCCTAATTCTACCACAGGGTAATTTGAGTATATATCTAACCAGTTATTGCGAGTTCGACATACCATTTAAAGTACGACCTTACGTTTGTACCCGCTAAATAGGATTCTTTGGTGTATGTGTTGGAATTCTTCAGGTTTATTAAGAAATCTGTTCACTAGATTTGACTCCAGAGACGGATTAAGCTAGAATATTTTCCAAAACTTGAACACTCGCACACTGCTGGTCTACCGTTCGTCAGACTGTTAAGTACGGAGACAAACAGATAAAAATAGCATTGTACAGAGCAAGGAAATTTCAAATAAAAAATCTGGAAGAAACACAAGGGATTGTAATTTTCAAAAGAAATAATAATATAAATTTATCAAGAGTTATGTTGAATGTTCAAATCTAAATACAGTAAAACCAACACAAGGTTAGTAAAAATCCCATAGTTGAAAAATACTTTAATAGATGCATATCAATGATAACACACTGAATTCCTAACGCTACCTTCTATATTTGACTAAGGGAATCAATACTATTGTGATGGACAAAGAGTAAATTTCGAATTTCCAACAAGGTTATATGATTATGCAACGTAAAATAACACTTCATAGAAATTGACTAAAATGTCAAAGGAATCAATGCATTTTCGTGAAACCGAATAAACAATTGAAAGAATACTAATCCGAAGTAGGAATGCAACCAAATCAATATATAGAAACTAAATTCGGGATAATCTCAGACAACAATTTAAATAATTTCAACTTTCCACCTGGTCATCTGATCTGTGCTTTTTCAAAGAAATAATGAAGTTGAAAGCTGGATAAATCATGAGTACCGAACATATAGACTGAAATAGCTCCACAGATTTATCAGTTTGAGATACATTCGCTACATTTCTAAACGCGCATAATCTCCTGATGTACTACTCATCATATTGTTGAATTAGGAGACCTGGTTGAATGTTGACAGTTTTTTTTCGCTGCAGACGAAGTCAAAAGTACTACCAGTGAAACTTGAATATTTTAGGAAATTGACAGAAACGTCAAAGTATTAGAGATTCCCATAGTGAAAATAAGCGAACAATATTGTTCCCAATTATATCGTCATCACATTGGTTTTCCTATAAATATTCATGTATATTAGAGCTTAATGATCGCATTAGAAACAATGTTAGTCGCTCATATTTGTTCTCCCAAAGGCATAGTCATATCAGAAGTTTAATCAAAATTTCTCAGAACCTTAATCACCTACATTGTGTTCGAGAGCTCTTCTAGGTACATTACCAGTGGCTTCGGTGCAGCACTAACATGGATTTTGCGAAACTGTTAGCCTATCATATGTTCACGTCATTAAAAGTCAGACCTCAGAACATCTTTTTGCATGCATGTTCACCAAACACACGTTCGTATTGGGCCAAACCACTTGGACTCTTTCCTATAGAATAGCAAACAACATTACTAGACCATATGTTCAAGAAGTGGGATTATGTGTCAGTTTATCGCTCACTGACTGTTGATTGGTCATTGTACAAGTTAGAGAATCGATTGTTTGAAAGACCAATCACAATAATACTGACACCGATCCTGATTCATAGGGACACATAGCGTATGTTTTAACAGGCTGAACGAACTTAGGATTCTTTGAATGTCATCAAGTGTGGATTTCTAGTTTATTAGTTGCCGCATTTATTAAGGTAGTAATTAACATTTATTTTTATTTTTGAATATGTATGTTGTAATTAAAATCAAGTCTGGAGTCGTAACGTAAAAATTGTGTACACAATGGACTTTATTCACTACTTGAAACTAAAGTTCGTCTTTATTCATCATTGTGCGTGACGCTTTTTAAAGGTTGGAACTGCGATGTGGAGGTGACTGATTGTTTTGTAGGGTGATATCCGGTTTTTGATGGGAATTCGTTATGAACGGATTGTTCTCTAGGTCTAATTGTAACTCAACCATTATGTGTAAAAAGAATTCTTAAATTAGGAAAACTGTTACATGGATTAACGATATCATTATGCGGTCATGACTTTTATGTTAAGTCAAGGTACATTAAACATTACAGTAAGTCTTTTATTTGAAAGTGCCGGTTATATGATTTCAGAAAAAAAAGTTGACGATGATTAAAAACCATGATCTGAATCTTGCGATTCTTCTGCAGACTATTGGTCAGTATTCTAAGCTGAATTTCCTTTACGGATTGTTAGTCAGCAAATTAAGCATAAATTATGGCGTTAGAATATTTTTTCGCTAACTCAACACGTTATACCACATGAAATAAGGTTTTCAAAACACAGGTTTGAGAAACCTCTGAGGATAAGTAGGCGTTTCCATTAGCTTAAATGCATGTAATGGTGCTTGGTCTGTTGCAAGCTTATCGAATACGTTAAAATGAAATCTACACTCCCATTTGGGTCAACCATGAAATTTTTCTGATGAGTACGATCTAGTAATGTTCGTAGACCAACTCTCCTTAGCTCCCTTATGGACTTTTTCAAACTTAGAATGTGTGCAGAAATCTACTTGAAATTTCATTAGAAGCACCTAGTTAAAATCGGGAATATTACTATGTGTTCGCAATCATGTTTTGTTGTTACCTCGAAATTTCTTTGAGAAATGTATGGTGGACCTATGTGTATCTGAATGAAAGTTGTACAATGTTCTTGATAATTGGTCCTATGTGTGCGTCATGACTCTGTAACCCATTAGCATTTTATTTATTTTACGGTTTCGGTCTGGTTGGGTCACTTGTTAGTTGAGTAATTTGTTTAGTGACTTCGCACTAACCTGGAAAACTAGAATGCTATCCTATTTCCGTCTGGAATTCGTGAAGGCACAATCTTCGACAAGTTATTCGACGATATCCCAACTACCTACTTTTCATGGGCTAAAAGAGAGTTATTTTATTTCAGAATGGGTCTTTGGCTTCAGGCCTCTTTGGTTTTGTTATGCATAGTGATTTTGGTTTCATCGGTGCCTACATCAATACAAAAACACGAGCTTGAAGAAAATGATTCGTAAGTTCTACGATTTTTGAATGCCGTTAAAGTTTCTTCTGTTAGTAAAACCAGTTTACATTTATTATTAAGACATACTTTATATGGTTACTCATATTAGTGTATCTAGTTGATTTTATGTTGACGTTTAGGGAGCTGTTGCTAATGATCGATATGTTTGAAAAGGCTGCAAACAAATTCTGGAGGGATGGTATTGTTGACTGGAGCTCTGTCTACCCGGGTTATAGATGTGTCTACCAATCCTGTCAAACAGATCTCATTAGCTTGTGATGTTTCACACCACGCTATGTATCATATTCGTATAGATCATATTTCAGAATATTTCCTCTGCTGAATTAAGCCATGGCAATTTGAACGAATTTACATTCATATCAAGTCTATCCTTGACTAACCTATTTTCCAGTACCAGTTCCGGTACATCCAAGAATTACGTTCTTTTTTGTACTACTAAAACTTCATAGTTACGTGTCACTTTCTATTAGAATTTTTGCATCGTTAGTTTTTACAAGAAAACGGCTTATTGTGAAGTATGTTTCTACATTTTGACCATTCTCTGGACTAACAGATTTCTTGTCAACAAGATATTTACCCTAAGGGCACTACTGTTAGTAGATGGATCATAACTAGTGCCGCAGTTGTTACATTTAAGTTCCAGGTTGATTCTTTGTCCACCGGAAAGTGTAGATAGTCGTTGGAGGTATTCTAATCATACTGTGAAGTGATAAGAACGGATTCAAGACTTTGCAGCGCCTATTAATAGAAACCAGGATTGTGTGTTTTCCGTGTGATTTTTCGATTTATGTAAGTTACTTCTTGCGGATAGCAGAGATGTGTTCTTAGGCATTTTATGTGGAACTTTTATAGGTCTTTTCGGAAGACAGAACTTGATGACCAAAATACACAATCATTTCTTGTTGTAAACTTCCCCAGCTTGTCTGGGTTACTGGGATCTAGATACCTGGTGTCAGTGAAATGAGTAACATACTGATCAACGTCACTCACTGCTGTACAGAATTACTTATATATTTTTAGGCATAAATATTGGTACAAAGGGACACTAATATATGTATAGGTCCCTCAAACCATTGAATTTATGTGGGCTGGGATATCATTCGGATCTCCAAACCAGAGGTGGTCTTCTTAGAGGGCCGTAACTCTTCGCGACGTTGACCTGTAGGTTTAATCCACAAGGCAGTAGAGTGTAGTGTCGGTTGCTATGTTAGCCGAGTGAGCCAACTCCATTGTGCATCATTTCGTTTTGCTTCGCTTTCCGATCAACGATTATATGTATTCAGAAATCCGTTCTCGTATTTGACTTATTTAATTCTATTATTCATCAACGCGATCTAAGTCGGTGATTATATGCGAGGATTGGCGATATGTATATTTCGATAGCAAGTAGCAAACGATATACCTGAGGTCAGATATTGGTCCATTAAAGTGGTAAGCCCAACGTGATAAGTAAGATAAGAAATGCACAAATATACGCTTACATAAAAACAAAAGGTTGGTAAGCGAATAAGTGACAGGGTACAAAGTGCTTAGAAAGAATGAATAGATTGATCTGTACAGAGGCTAGAATAAGATATGTGGGCTTGCATAGCAACTGACACTACAAAATCAACGATAAGGGAAGTGGTCCTATGGTAACTGGTGTTCAAGTATAGGTACATACCCCATATTTTCCCTCAGAATCCTGGGGCGCATATTGACCATTCGTTTCGGATAAGGCTTATCCAACTTTCCAAGGTAGATCCTATATACTCACTAACCCGGTTTAAGCTCCAGACATTCGTTTTTCTTTCTCTTGATTTCGTGAACAACACCCCACAGCTAGGTAACGAGTAGGGTTTTCCTGACTGACTGTGTATCGATGGCCATACGATGATTTGAAGAGGGGGAGTGGTCCCCTAACCCTCGGCCGTACCGGGGTATTTAGGGGCGGTGTGTAGAATTCTAAATATAATTGAGATAGTCTACCGAGTCGATTGTCTTAAACAAAGGAACCAAAGTTAATTTGTTTTTGGCTATTTTCGACATTTAATTTATTATCCTTTAATCTCTTTAGCTTTGACAGTCAACTAATAGAAGATAACAGATCACATTTTCGAGGACGCCAGTTTGGTAACAGGCTTGGATCTGATAAAAGTAGGCTATTTTTATATAACAGCTCTAGTTTTTCAGTTACTTTTTGTTAACTATGTCACATCATCAAAGCAGTCTGGGTTACATAGGATTGAGATCATTAAATTATAAAAAGGCCCGGTCAAACGTATGCCGAGAAATACTGTGATTTGGAATAATCTATTTTGTATCCTGAGCTTCTAAATTAAACCTGGTTATTTCTGTGCTTACATATGTTGATAAACCATGAGGAAAGTTTCTTTTGTTTCGGTAAAACAGTTAGTTGGGGCATGGTTAATTTTGGCACATTGATTATCTAGGTTGCAGAATATTGTTAGTGTTATGCTTAGGACTAATTTATCTAAAACCATTTGTTAAGCTGCCCATACGAGCCGAACACCAGTTATGGTCACTGTCAAACTATCATGTTGAATATATTTTCGGTCCCATACCACTGTGAGGCAATATTTCGTAGACAAAACAGAACTAAAGTTTGGTTGATATTAACTCTAAGCATTATCCTTTGAATAGTAACAATACCGAGTGGAATTTCAGTTATTTAGAGAGACCATTGAATAGCACTTAAGTCAGTCAGTAACAGCCCCCAAATGCCCTGGTATGGCCGAGAGTGGGGAGAGTCCGCTCTCCCTCCCGAAATGCTCTCGTATGGCCACGCGTATACAGCCCCTGCCAGGGAAGTCCTACTCACTGCCTTCTCGCACCAAGGGTGTTGTTTACAAAAATGAGAGGACGAAAAGCGAATGTCCGGCGCTATAACCGGACACCAAACCAATGGTGCACATGGGCTCCAGTATCCTGTGGGAACAAATGGCGTATGAACCAATCGTTGGTCACCGGCTACCATGGGACTGCATCTCCTCACGATGCTCCACTGCCTTGTGGATCAGACGTTCAGGTCGAAGGCTCGGGGTGTGGCCCCCTAAGAAAACCACCTGCTTCGGTTTGGGCACCCGGGCAGTATCACAGCCCTCACACATATCAAATGAGATCTGTGTGGCGCATATGAACTTGGTGCCTCCCTGTACCTATACTTATGTGTTAAAATAAATAAATAAAATACAGTCAGTAACAACGTGGAACTTCGTACGTACGTACATCAGTTCGAGTTGCCATACTACATTAGCACAGAGATTCAGTTATCGATTCAAATCTCGTAGTGGTAGATGTAGTGATAGGGAACATTAGGGTTTGATGATGTTATTTAAGGAGTATAGTCCAGTGAAATAGATTTGGAAAGAAAATAAATGACATGAAGAATACAGAAGATTAGAGTTTGAGAGAACACAGAGTGGATGCACCTGCGCCATTGCAAACGATTTTGAGCCATGTCATTCAAAGTCTCTAACCATCGGTTGCTATCATCTCGCGGTCCCCAACCAGGTAGTCTACACCTACCAACATGGCTCAGTCCACTTGTCAGTGACTTCATGGATTTGTGCCATGTTTTGGTCTGGCCGCCCCTAGCTTTCTTCCAACCTACTCCTACACCATAAAACATAGCACGTCGGGGCAGTCGGTGGTCGAGCATGCGCAACACATGTCCCAGCCATCTCAACTGATTAAGTTTCACTACTTCATCAATTGATTTGCCATCCTTACATAGTACCGGTTTCCTAACAACTGAGTTATTTACTCGGTGGTCCTAGGATATACGAGCAATGTTTCGAAGACACCTATGATCAAATACTAGTAACCTACGAATATCCTATACTCTTACTGGCCATGTTTCACTGCCATAAAGTAGGACGGAACGAACTGCTGCGCAGTAAACACGTCCTCGCCTACGCCATAAATGACGCAAGTTGGCAAATGCTAATCGAGCCTTCTGTATCCGTACCGAGATTTCTTCACACACCAGACCACAAGATCTGATGAGACTTCCAAGATAGGTGAAGTGGTCGACACGCTCAACTACTTCACTCCCTATCACTAGTTCAGGTGCCGATGCAGCCCAATCCTGAAGCAACATTTTGCATTTCGAGGGAGAGAATCGCATGCCGAACATGCTTGCATTGTTGCTTAGAGTGGTCAGTAGACTGCATTTTGTCAACGTCTTCACCGAATAGAGCTATGTCATCGGCATATTCTAAGTCAACAAGCGGATCTCCCGGCAGAAGTTCCACTCCTAGAAATTTAGATGAGGAAAGTGTCATCTCTAATATTTTAGACACTATATTAGTCAAACTAATTCCTCTGTGATTGTCACAAGAAGACTTTTGTCCTTTCTTATAGACTGGAACGATCAGTGATTGAGACTAGTCAGATGGGATTACGTCCAACTCCCAGATTCTACCTAAGGCCTCAGTCAATCTCGCTGCTAATACTGGACCACCATCCTTAAAAATCTCAGGGGTAAAACTGTCAGGGCCTGCTGCTCTTCCACGCTTCAGATTTCCTATAGCTTTTTCAACTTCGACAAGACTCGGAGGACTTACATTAATTTGCCATTCAGGTAGATTGGAGATCGTGGGAAACCGAAGTGTGGCTGAAGGCCAGTTGAACTGATCCCTAGTGTTTTGCCCATCGGTCCAATCTCCTGGATTGAGAATGAATAATATGTCCATCTTTCTCTGCGATTGTTTCGCTAACAGTTGGGTTCCTAATACCGGTTTCCTTAACAAGTCTGAACAGTTGCCTGCTGTTACTTATTGCCTCTGCCTTTTCCATCTCTCTTGCTTTCGCTACCCACCACTGTTCACGATCATTGCGTGAGCGTCTAGTCAGCTTACGCTTAAGCTGACTCCGCTCTTCGTTATGTTCAGAGCCAGATGGAATGAGTTTACGAGCATCTATCAATGCGGTAGATGCTGCTGAGATCCAGTGTTTCTCCCTAACCTTATGGTTTGCCGTACTTGCAGACATCACTACTGTTTCTACAGCTTTTCGGATGTCATGCCTCGGGGTGGGCATCAGTTACGTGGCTGCCTAACTGTTTTTCTAGCTGTTCCTGAAATGTACTCTTAGCTTGACTATCATTAAGTAGGACCCTAAGGGGTTTCCCTGCACCATCTTTCCTACGTCCAGTATGACGTAGACAAATACGCGCTCACACTAGAGCATGATCTGAGTCTAAGCATGTGCATCAGAATGAGCGACAGTCTTCTATCGAGCCCCTCCATCGGTGGCTGATAGCGATGTGATCTATTTGGGTCCAGCGTTGGGACGAATTAGGGTGTCGGCATGTTAAAAGATGTTTTTCCTTATGCTTATCTGTTCTTTGAGCCGCGACACCATAAGATCCACCCAGGTGTCTTTCCCTTTCGCTTAGTTTACCTACTTGAGCATTAAGGTCATCAGCCACTATTACTACGTCACAGCGCCTAGATTTTCGGAGGTCGGAAAGTTTTCTGTAAAACTCATCTTTTACATCATCTGAGCTGCATTTAGTGGGAGAGTAGGCAGAGACGACGAAGAGGCAACGACGAGTGTCCCTATCTTTCCGAGTTCTTACTGTTCGGTTTAGTCGGACAGCACACAAACAACTGTTTACTGGAATCCAGTCTAAGAGAGCTAGTTCTGCCCTAGGACTCAATGCTATACCTACGCCAGTGAGGCAACGGGAAGCAGCATCAGGGCTTCCAGATACACGAAGTGTAAATCGATTTGGTTCGTTACTTTGACATGGTGCGGTCAAATGAATGACACTACTAGGATCCTGTATGCGCGTTTTGGAGACGCAGCACACATCGATGGAGCGAGATTCTAAAGTCTTAGCTAAGGAAGCCTGTTGTCCTATTTGGCACAGTGTTCGGACGTTGAAAGCTCCTACGTGTAGTTTAGAGCGTGGTTTCAGATCAGGAATAGCATTCCGCGTACTCGAATCGCTTGCACTAACGGGGCGAGGTGATATAGGGACGTGAGAAGGATTGGTCGTGGAGATAAGAGAGTTATTAGGAGGTGTAGGAAGGATTTGAATGTGACCAACTTGGTCTCGTGTGCTGTTACGGGTATGAGGGCTGATATCACTTCCCGGTTGCCCACATCGTGAAAGGGTATTTCTTGAGGGACCTGAAAAGGAAATCGGATTAGTGTTGGTCTTAACGAACTGGGTGCGTGACCGCAGAGCCCAAGGGACAACTGCTTGAGGCCGGTCGCGCACGGCCTTTTTGTGGGAGGTTTTTAATGTGTTAGCTCCGTTCTTCAAAGGGCCTTACCGCCGGAGACGGAAATCCGTGGGGTAAGGTGAGGTGTGACATTTTTAGGGTCAACCTTTTCTAACCCCTTCCTTCCTTGTGAGAAGGCAGCATCGCTGCAGATGCTGATTGTCCGAGGGAAACACCTTACTGCTGTCACACCTCTGTACAGTCAGCAGTACGACTTCGCCCTCAAACCTTGAGTTGTTGGTTTTAGTCTTACCGTTCTCCAATCGACATGCCTTGCATGGTAGAACCTGCAGGAACATGTGTTCCAGCCAATAGAGCTCGGTTGGGTCATCACGATAGGCAAGCCCGACCACCATGTCAAGGTAGCAGCTACGGTCGGGATTAGCACTTAAGACTTTTAGTGCAGTCTGATCGTAAGTATTATCAAATAAAAAGGAAGTAAAAAATTTGTCTGTAAAAAGTGGCCTTGAAACAAGACTTTAAGCAACAAATTTTCAATGTTTATTGTTGAGAAATGTGGGAATCAATGTCCTGTTTTTTGCTTACAACATTTACTGTTCAGTACTCATATGGAATTTGATAGCAATTAGTTTATCGCACTTATTAGAAAACCAATCCTTTAATCCTCAAGTTAATCACTTAAATCTTTGTTCTGATCCATTATTTTATAAATATATTTCATTATAAATTATTAAGAAGCTTAGAAAATTTTTTCCATAGATCAGTTATTGTTACATTCACGTATTATTTTCCTCACTGTCTAGCATTTATTTATTTATTTCATTCATGAAGTAAGTTGGTTATTTGCTGTCAAACAAATAGATTTCTCAGTGAATTTTGTGCACCCTCTGGCAAAAATAAACTATACTATTCATTCATTAGAGTTGGTACTGAATGTTATGCTATTGTCTAGTATTTGGTATGCAGTGGTGATTATAAAACGATTTATAATGTTTCTAGCTTTGCAGTGATTCTTCCAAGTTGTAAATGCGAACGGAGACTTAATGATTGCATAAAAGGCTGTGTTATTAAGAGTCTAACACTTCCAACCGCTAAGTTTCCATTTACAAACGGCGTTGAAACTTTTTTTTCTAAGTAGTTAAGACGACACGCTTTAGAGGAATATCAGTATTTTATAGGTAATTTTATTTGCAGTTGGTGTGAGCTAATTTGTTTTCCATATTTTGTTTTATCGTTTTTTGCAATTTATTTATTCCTTTTAAATTGCTGTTCGATATCCTACTTACTTTTTTTCGGTATAAGCTTTGTGTGAATTTTGCTGTTTGTTTGTCTTTGATGTTGTGATTTCACACTACGCACATTAATTGACCATAAATATGTGGCTTGTTGGTTGAAACACTTGTGAATAATAAGCTGTTGGTTTGAATCCTACTTCACCTGCTTCGATATCACTAACGGGATTCATGACCATCTACTTGGTTAGTGAATTCCATCATATTATTATATTTTAACACTAATGTTAAATTTTATCCTGTTGATTAACCGATAGATGATTCAATACCTGGTGAAAGACGGTCACGTAGGCGTCGCAGAAAGCATGTGAGTTTCAAGTCGAATTTGGTTAACATTTTCTTGTACCTTTCGTTTCATCATACTCCAATAATTCTTTTCTGTTCAGCTGTTGGGGCGCAATTATGGGTATTTCCAACAGTAATACTTTTCACTCATCGTATAGTTTATATATGCAAAGGTTGTTAATTTACCTACTTTTGTGTAATTAATATTGACTAGTTAAACATATCTTGAGCTTTAAAAAAGCTAGCTAGTATTTCTGGTCCTTACACTAAAAGATTTACTTCAAAACTAAATGCACAAAGAGGTACTTGGTGAGTTATTTCTATGTTATGATTGGTGATTCACAAACGGGTAAATTGACTGTATTGTCTTATCGAAATTTGTAGGAGATTAAATCGTCCTAACTGTGCGAGGGATTGTCGTATCTTCAAAAAGGGCAAATTCTTAAATTGTATTAGAGGTTGTGTGAATGTCCATTTATTATGGAAGGATTTGTTTTATCGCCCCCAAATGCCCTGGTACGGCTGAGAGTGGGGAGAGTCCGCTCTCCCTCTCGAAAAGCTCTCACATGGCCACGCGTATATAGCCGCTGCCAGGGAAGTCCTACTCACTGCCTTCTCGCACCAAGGGTGTTGTTTACAAAAATGAGAGGACGAAAAGCGAATGTCCAGCGCTTTAACCGGATCCCAAACCAATGGTGCACATGGGCCCCAGTATCCTGAAGAATCAAATGACGTATGAACCAATCGTTGGTCACCGGCTACCATGGGACTGCATCTCCTTACGATGCTCCACTGCCTTGTGGGTTAGACGTTCAGGTCGAAGGCTCGGGGTGTGGCCCCCTAAGAAAACCATCTGCTTCGGTTTGGGCACCCGGGCAGTATCACAGCTCTCACACAAATCAATTGAGATTCGTGTGGCGCATATGTACTTGGTGCCTCCTTGAACCAATACCTATGTGTTAAAATAAATAATAAATAAGATTTGTTTTATCTAGTCCGATTATTGACTTATTCGCCTATATTTTCTATAGGCCTAATGGTCTCTTTATCCAATAAAACCACGAACTTCTAACCAGTGACTCAGTAACTGTATCTCATGTCTGGAGAATTTTGATGCTTATTGTCTCGCGAGCTGTTCCCGATTAGTAGACAAAGACAGCAAGCAGATGCCTTCCTGGTGGTTTTCTTAGAAAGCCACACTCGGAGCCTTCGACCTAAAGGTCTAATTCACAAAACAGTGGAGCAAAGTCAGGAGATGCAGTCCCATGATAGTCGGTGACCAACAATTGGTTCGTACGCCATTTGCTCCTTCAGGATACTGGGGCCCATGTACGCCATTGGTTTGGAATCAGGACTTTCCAACTCCTCTAGGTGGACTAGCCGTGTCCGCCAACCTGGATAAAGCGCCAGACATTCGCTTTTCGTCCTCTCAGTTTCGTTAACAACAGTAATGCCGTGAGAATACAGTGAGTAGGACTTCCCTGGCAGTGGTTGTAGGCACGTGACCAAGTGAGAGCATTTCTAGAGGGAGGGCTGACTCTCCCCACTCTCGGCCGTACCAGGACATTTGGGGCTCGTTATTCTAGATTTGGTATGACGAGTGATATAACAACGGTTTTTGGATCAGGCCAAAGCTTTCATGTAGGGAAATATAATAAACATAATCCAAGCACCTATTAACTATATAATAAAAATATTAACAGTAATTCCCTGTGGAATATTTCCTAAAGCTCAGCCTTTCTCAAACCCTATTCTATATCACACGGATTACATTTTAAGAAATGTGAACTTAGTTTTTCCCTACAGTGTTTCAAAAATGTATGTTCCAATGGCGACTGAAAGAAGCACTCTCATCAAAAATGTTTTATTTGATGTCTCATCTTTTGTATTTCTATCCCATATTCAAAGCATTTTGGGAAAAATTTCTGGACGTTGATTACCGTGATTATTTTCCCCTCTCTGTTATTAATTTTTCCGTTGTATTACTTTTATTGTTTCTGTTTTTCATTCGTTTGCCAGATATTGCGTTTATTATTTCATAGGTTTCATTACTCGGTCGTCGTCGCATTTTTGCAAATGTATTCTTTTGCAGTGGCATAGTTGCATCCATTCTTCGTCTTCCTCCAAATTCTAAGCATCTGAATTCCTCATATTTTTTAAAATTCCCCTAATTTATATATTCTTTTAATTGTATCCTCGATGGATAATTTTTATTACCTCTGAAACTATTACTATGTCTGCTACTCTGAAATTTACTTTAACAGTTTCATCTCGTTGTGCTAATGGGATGTGAAAACTTGAACCGATATACACACATATCAAGTTCTACGTTGCGACATACCGACCCTATTTTGTATTTCGAATCTCTTATGTTTTTTATCCTGTTGATTTTTTTCTGTCTCGCTCTCGGTGCTGTTGTGAGTTGCAATAACTTAAACCTGATACACATTAGCAGGTCATAGTTTCATTAACCAACTAATATTCCTAGTATTTTCTCAAAAATAATGTAGTTGTTTATCTTATCCTTATTTGTGATCTTTAAAAGTTACTGTTTTCCGTTTTGTTACGAGAAACTACTTTTCTTTAAATATGGCCCAGATTTAAATTATTACACTGTTATTCTGAATTGCAGTTGTCCACATTCAACGTTATATACTAAAGACACGTTAATGAAACTCTTCAAATTTTGCTGGAATGACTATCGTACTTGTTAAAAGATTCTTCTCAGCTCACTATCAGTTTTCTTCAAAATTGATTTCGTAGTATACATAGTTAATCACATCAAACGTAATTCAATAACTCATCAGTAATGTTAGTTGAAAATCCTACTGCAACACAAATTGACTAAAGTTAAAAATATGAGCAGTTAAATTCTGACTCAGTTGTTTGGATAGTATCGTGCTCCCTGTAATATCTGTCCTAGGCTCAATCTGATGTAGGTTGTCGAGAGCGTCCTCGTTGTTAATGATTTCCGTTTCAGCTCAATATCAGTTAGTTGGTGTTATCTGGTGTTCAATGGTTTTACAATTGATCCTAGTTCATACTAAAAATACCTTTCAAACAGTGCAAACTCCTTATAAGAACTACCTTAGGAAGTACTGTTTTTTTTTGTTATTATCTTTTTAAAATTGTTTATACATTATATTATTTCTACATTTTTATGTTTCCTCGCAGAACCGACATTGTGAACAACCAGGCCAATGTCCTGAAGGTAAATTACTGACTGTTTTTTTAGATGCTTATAACTAGGTTTATTTTATGGATAGGTTTATTTAAATTAAACTTTTCCCAGTTAGATAATCATCAGTTCACCAACCTATTCAAAGTAATTTCATATATATATATATATATATATATATATATATATATATATATATATATATATATATATATATATATATATATATAAGGCTTCTCAAAGTTCTCTTAGGAGGATATGTTGTTATCATAAAATTGTATTTCGTCATACAGATGATACCTTTTTATATACTTCCTAAGATTTCACTGATCCATCAAGTATAGACTCTGTAACTAAACAATTCATGTATGCAGATGACTCCTAAATAAATTCAATCTTTTTCCAAGAAACGCTTTGTCACTCAAAATACGCCGAAGACTTTTACCCGAATTTTAACCAAACAAACCTATGCCGTCTGGGTACTATTGTAAGGCAGTTTAAGAATCTTCGAGAAAAGGACCAACTCGGTAAAAGTTAAAGTTGTTATTCATAAGAGCATATCTGTAGGAAACTAATTGAAATGGTTATGTGAAAAATATATAGGATTAGTTTTAGTATGGTCATGAACATAGCACATCTAATGAATTATTTAATAACATCATTCGGGCTTTCTTGAATTTTCCGACATATTGAACAAAATCCCTCCTAGTCGTCATAATTTCCCAATTTCCTCGTTGATATTAAAATGTAAATACATGAATTTACGGAATAAATAGCATTCACAGTTTCATCTCCAAAAATCACAATATAACAGCATATAAAAAATATTTTGGGTGTTTTTATAAGAAGAAAAAAGTAATTCCAACGTGTTAATCGAACCGGTTAAGTAATAATTAAATAGATTTTTTACAGAGAAATACCAATCGAATTTGAATAAAGTGTATCATGTAGAGAAGTAAGTGTTAACAGTTATTAGAGATAAAATTCTAGTAATTTTCAATTATCTTATTCTAGTTGTTGCATTCTGTATAAAGTAAGTTTGAGATTTGGTAGTTTTATAGAAAATCCCACCACTAATGGTAATAATAATAGTTTTATATTCTATTTTGTTTATTGTCCATCACTATTTCAGGTGGTGCTAATTGGAGACGGTCACATAGACGTGGAAAAAAACATGTAAGTGTTATGTGTAGATAAAAATTACTTCATCAGTTAACTGTACTTTACTATCGTTGAACACCTTAGTCTTTGAAATTGGTCATAGTGGCTCAGAGGCATTGAATTTTGATCTGTTCTTAATCGTTGTATTGTATATCCTATTTCTCTATTTTATTCGCTATTTCCGAATTGTCTCTTCAGTGTTTAATTTCCTAATATTATTGGTGTTTGTCCTTCTTTTGTTTTCATTTTCATCTTAATTCTTCTCTTGTTGTGATGATGCCAAGTCCTGCCCCTAAATGCCCTGGTACGGCCGAGAGTGGATAGAGTCCGCTCACCCTCTCGCAATTCTTTCATATGGCCACGCGTATATAGCCTCTGCCAGGAAAGTCCTACTCACTGCCTTCACATGGCGGGGGTGTTGTTTACGAAATTAAGAGCACGAAAATCGAATGTCCGGCAATTTAGCCGGGTTGGTGGACATGGAGATTTCATCTAGGGAAGTTGGGAAACCCTGATTCCAAACCAATGGTGTAAATGGGCTCTAGTATCCTGACGGAACAAATGACGTATGAACCAATCGTTAGTCACTGGTTACCATAGGACTGCATCTCCTTACGATGCTCCACTACCTTGTAGATTAGACTTTTTAGGTCGAAGGCTCCGGATGTGGCCCCCTAAGAAAACCACCTGTTCCAGTTTGGGCACCCGGGCAGTATTACAGCCCTCGCACAAATCAAATGAGATTTGTGTGGCGCATATGTACCTCCTTGTACCAATATCTATGTGTTGAAATAAAATAATAATAATAATAATAAAATGTGCCAAATCCCACATTGGCTGATTGACTGAATAGGATTATGAGCTGTGTTCATAAAATTTAGACTGGATTTCATGCGTGTATTTTTAAAATAGCTTGACAATATATAATATTCACCTTTGTTTACCTTTATGTTATTCTTTAAAAATTAAAAGTTATCCATTCAATCATATTACGTACTGATTTATTTCAGCGTCCATTATACGACAATCTTCATTAATTCTGAACACCATTATATAGGTGATATTAATTAAAAGTGTGCTAATATGGTTTCTCTACGGATTTTGTCCATTCAGAAAATTTCAAATTTAGTGTCTTTAATTAAATATTGTTCAAAAGTAATGTTTATTCTTTGCATTGTTTCTATTTCTTTTTAGCGTACACGATGCAGTGGTGATGGTGATTGTCCTGAGGGCAAGTTTCTATTTTTTAAATATTAATTCTTTAAATTAATTAGTTGATCAGGTTGTTAAAAAGGTATATTGTCATTTTAAAACGAAATGATACTCCTGTTACTCGACACAACTCACCACCCAATTTAACAATCAAAGACATTACATATTCTGGCTGTGACTGATTTCTTATGGGACTGATATATTTTCATAGATTATTAACTTTTATTATGTTTATCTAGTCTTCAGTGCCGATCAAACTGAATTATCAGCCACTCGTTTAAACAAATGTGTTCTGTGTGGCGAGAATAAATGCTAATCGATTGGTTTATGTAGTTGGATCGTTTTCTAATTTCATCAAGAATATATCTCCATGGTGTGGTCTTAGTAGTGATTACATAATAAGACCATTAAGCTGTCTTTAAAATTGGTTGTTAAGTTAAAAATGTACATTCATTGTACACCCTAGGATTAAATTTTTTCATTTGGTAACAGGACATGTAAGAGTCATTAAGAGTTGTGTTCATGGAAAACCTGGAAGTACGCGGGACTCGAACCCAGGACCTTCTATCTCGCGCGCAATGTAGCAATTGTTTGATTTCTCGAATAATTTGATTGTTATATTCCTATTTCTTCCAATTACTCAATATATTTTTTATTCGATACATTATATAATCATTACATCACGCAACCACTTGATGAGTATTATTTCGTTGATGTATATATATATATATATATATATATATATATATATATATATATATATATATATATATATATATATATATATATATATATTTGTAGTCATGATGAAAAACTAATTGAAAAGAAATTTCGTTCTGTTTACTAAGTTTCGTTTCCTTTAGTAAGCTAATAATTCATATCTTAATATCATAATTGAAGTATCATTCTCATTTCAAAATTTAAGTGTTACATACACTTGACATCAAGAGATTATGAATGAATGACACTTGGTAGTTAATGGCACTCGATGTCCAACCACTGGGTTGAACCTCACTTCCTTCTACTATGAATTCAGGAACCGGGTAGCATCACTTGCCTTCAAATCGAAAGAATGGCTCAAAACCGGGAGTACATGAATTTCTACTTGGTAAATAAGTCATGGGAAGACGACTACACCAGTTCTCAATTATTTGTATTAGAATATTCTATACATGTCGGTTGTATTTTCAGTTCCTGGTTTTTTTTTTCACAGGTCAAATGTGTAAGGAACGTCGTCACAGAGGAGGACGTAAACATCAAACACGTGGTGCTCCGCCACCTTCCGGCAGTCTATCTCCATCCTCACATAGTGGACCAAAAGTTGGGAAGAAATTTTGTCGTGAGAGGAAAAATGGAGTACATAGAAGATCAGGACTCCTGTAATTCGTATCAAGGAACATTGTCATCAGTATTCAAAGGAACTTCATTTATACTAGTTTATACTAATCATATATATAAATATCCTAATATTTCCTTATTTGTTGTTTTCCTGTTTTTTTTTCGATAGAAATTTGTCTGTTTATCTTCGAAATAATTTTTATTCAAAAAGTATAAAACACTACATTCACCCATTCATCCATATATTCAATTTAATCCATTGCGATAAAAGTAATTTTACTTATTGTGTTTACGATCCTATTTCATATTTTATCAACTCATTCAGTCATTAAGCATTTAACTCCTTATCCCCCACTGCTCGACTTTACCCTTGCAATTTTACTCAGTTTTATTTTTGCTTGTTTTTGTTTATATTTTGCCTTAACTGGTCTTTTTTTCCATTGAAATGTGTGTGTCTGTGTACACGTATGTAGTTTTGTTTCTTATATTTTGTTTTATTCCAGTTCTCAGTAATTTTCGATGGGAAATATAAATTACTCAATGTTGCCAATATAAAACATACACGATAAATTCTTGTTATTCATCTTTAGTGTCTATTCACTTATTATCTTCATATTGTTTTCACTACTACTGTTTACCTGGTCATGTAATTATCGATTATTCTGTTCAACGGAAGTTTTGGGATAATTTGTGTTTGTCATGAATTAGTCTCAATATGAGTATCACTAAAAAACTAGGACGCATTAAACAGCTGTCTCATACTACAGTGGTGCTCACTCACGACTCATTCAGGGATTAAACCCATCAGATCTTGTATGGAACTCAGTCGTTGAGTTGCGGTGGTGCAATCGCAGCTTCAACCAACTTGAGATATGTCATGACAATCATCCAATATCACTGGTAGCAATTTCCACTCCCTACATGTCTAACCCTACCAGTCGTGAGTCCTTACTAGAGCTCCAGGGACGTCTTATAGTCACTTATGAGCTTGCTAAACGGGTTTTGTAGAGATTGGTTTACTTTGTAGGCTATATTGATCAGTGGTACTCCGAGTTCAATTGATACAACCTATAATTTAGACCAATCTCTTCAAAACTGCAACTAAATCCGATAAATTTGGTAGTCCTTGTATCAATGCATAATTGTTGAATGATCTACAACATTAGTGTCGGTTAAAATATCATTTGAAAATCAACATGTAGTGGGTGGTTTTTCCCGTTTCTGGTTGTACTACTTACTCATTTTCACTATCAGTACGAATGAACATGGGCTGCTTTGCTTATTATATTTACAAGACTACAAAATGAATGCCACTATTTTTCACAGTTAAATAGTTGATTTTTTATGCCATCGGATTATCATAGTGTTAATCTGGTTGTTATAAATAGGCCCCCCTAATGCCCTGGTACGGCCGAGAGTTGGGGAGAGTCCGCTCTCCCTCTCGAAATGCTCTCACATGGCCACGCGTGCATAGCCGCTGCCAGGGAAGTCCTACTCACTGCCTTCTCGCACCAAGGGTGTTGTTTACAAAAATGAGAGGACGAAAAGCGAATGTCCGGTGCTTTAACCGGACCCCAAACCAATGGTGCACATGGGCTCCAGTATCCTGAAGGAACAAATGACGTATGAACCAATCGTTGGTCACCGGCTACCATGGGACTGCATCTCCTTACGATGCTCCACTGCCTTGTGGATCAGACGTTCAGGTCAAAGGCTCGGGGTGTGGCCCCCTAAGAAAACCATCTGCTTCGGTTTGGGCACCCGGGCAGTATCACAGCTCTCACACAAATCAATTGAGATTCGTGTAGCGCATATGTACTTGGTGCCTCCTTGAACCAATACCTATGTGTTAAAATAATAATAATGTAAATAGAAATTGGTCAATCCATATCATGAGGTATACTAAAGTTAACTATCCGAATGCATTATTGAATTAGACAACACAATGAATCCATGTTACACCACGTGTTAGAATAACTTGGATTTTTGGTTAGATATTACTTGTAATTGGATCCCCGTTTTAATTTACAAAAGTTAAAATAAAATTGAAGTTTTCGCTTTTTTGGAGTTTTATACTTTAAAAAAATTTGATCCAAATGTTCAACAATAACCCGTTTCAATGTTTTGATCCTGTATGGCTTTTATGACACTTCCAAAATAAACGGGAGCTCTTAACCTGTTCAAATCTTATATTATAACTGCCTTTAAATTTGCTCTACTTTTTAAAATGGCAAATGTCACGTTTTTCATAGCCGCTCACATATACACACATCATTATATCTCACAAGGAGTCCCTTTAACTTGAATGGACAGACGTTGGTATGAGGTAGGTTTTGTTTGTACTTAATATTGAATTTGTCCATTTGAACTTGTTAATTTATTTACTGGATAAGCGACTTACACTAATTTGTGAAACGTCAGAAATTGAATCTTTCTCTCTAATCATTGGGATATTACAAATATATTATTATCAGTATTTGAACAACGCTTACACTCATTATGAATTTATCAATTCAAACCTTGGTTACAACATGAAAATGTACTCCCATTTAATCTCCCTTTCAGTGGTTTTTAGTCTGTGATGGTAGGTGTCTTATACTTTCAGTATTTATGAATATAAGTTTGTATGTTTTCGGAGCAGTGTTCTAATGTTTAATTCGGTTTTTACAAGTAGATCTCTGGTTAAACGTATAGTATCACTATCTTTCACAAAAACTATGTCATTCAAAACCGACTACGTTAACTTGTATTTGTTAAATGGGTTACAGTATATGATGTTGAATAATTTTGAAAGAGAAAATTGCCAAAAGGAGTGTTTCCCTCTATTAAACCGTCAATGTATTTCTATCTCTATATTTGAAATAAACACTTAATTCAACTTTCAGAGCATATACCAAGAGTAGTGGTATGTTTATTATAATTTGGTTTGAACAATCTTCAGATATGGGTCAGAACACCAGTTAGTCGTGTACACTATTGAAGATTCTCAAATGTGCACGAAAGAGCTGTCCCATGATCCTTAGATTTAACTGAAAAGAAGCTTTCCTGTTGATGTATTCGAAATAATCAACAGACAAAAAGTACCGATTTCACTCCGTTTTGCAGAGGCGATCGCTACCAAACCTTCCCTACCTGACCTATGTATACGAAAGGAAAACTTGATTAACTTTTCCCTGTTATGATGATTGAATATTTGTCTAAATAACCTTCTTCAATTTTAGTCTTTATTCAACCTTGTTTCAAAACTTTTATTTTTATTCTTCTTCTGTCTTCTGATATTCATCTTTTACATAATCTGATTTATGTCCACATATTTGTTTGTTTACATATTAATTTCATTACTTCCATATAATGTCTGAATTATTACTTCCCAAAATAATAAACACAAACCAATCTTCACTCTGTTTATTCATATAATTTCTATATATATTCTTCTTAATATTATAATTTTGATTGTGTTTCGAAAATTTATCTAAACACCAACTTAAATGACCGATGAAGTTGATGTTAGCAAACTTTAGTTTGTTAAACATTTGTTAATAATTATATTTAGATTAGATGGTGGTTGTAGGTAGTCAACAGGAAACCCTAGACCCAGGTTTCGTGCCACTTGGCACTCGTCAGCAAGGTGTACCTGTAATCTTGAGGGAACTCGTGCTCCCTGACGGATTCGATCCCGTGTCACTCAGCTTTACAGTCAGAGATGTTACCACCGGGCTCTCCAGGCTGTGACAGATCACCTGTAGGACTGAGATGTAATCCCAATTGATTGATCACTGAGTGGTGATCAATGTCATGTGTTTCAAGTCCTTTATAATGCAGATCAAATGCTGTCGGCCAAGTTGCAATGTGGCCACCAGTCTAGGGTTTCCTGTTGACTACCTCCAACCACCATTCTATCTAAACAAGTGCACGCAATGTCGAGTCATCTAGACTAGTGACCACATTACAACTTGGTTGATAGCGTTCGATCTTCATTAAAAAGGACTTAACACACATGACATTGATCACCACCCATTGATCAATCAATTGTGATAATTATATTTATTTTAATTGTCAAGATCACGAGTCAATTGACACTAGACCACCATGGAAAACCTGTAAGCACTAGACGGCCGTTTCGTCCTATTGTAGGACTTCTCAGCAGTGCGCATCCACGATCTCTCCTCGCGAGATTGAAACCCAGAACCTATCGTTTTCAAGTGAAAGCGCTTAACCTTTAGACGGTGTTCACGTCTAACTTCAACTAACACACAGTAGGACGAAACGCCCGTCCAGTGCTTCCAGGTTATTCATGGTGGTCTAGCTTCAATTGACTCACGATATTAATAATTACAACTTTAGGTTGTATGCAGCTGATAAGAAGCTATGAAATAGAATATGTTCATTTTATTCCCTAAACTTTATTACCCTTTCTTTGTTTAATGATTTTATTTAGATATTTTATATGTCCATTATTGATTACCTTTGTAAAGCATATTACTTATCTATCTGTATGTTATTCTTTTATTACCTCAACATTCTTATTAACATAACAGATAGATAATTTGTTATCTTTTCATTCTTTTAATTACTAAAATCAACTAGGCAATTTATATTTAAAATGAATATATAGTTTATTTCGTATATAGATTTTGTATATAAAGGAAAAATATAATAATAATTAATTATTTTATTAAACTAATTGATTAATCAATTTGTGAATGAAATAAATCTTTCATAAATAAATCATTAATCAATGATTTATAATTGATTTTATCGACTTTTAATTTTTTACTTAAATTCATTGATTTTGGCATATCACCTTTACTTATTGGTAACCAGTCAATATTAATATTTCCAGTATAATCCAATGATGGTTGAATAGATAATTCATTAATATTATAATTTTTCCAATTAAGCTGATTAATAAATTGTTCATATTGTATTAAATCATTTTGATTGACTAAACTGTAATTTAAATGAAAGAAAGAAAAAGAAAAATGTTAATATTTATGATTTTAACAAAAAAGGTGACCACACCCTGAGCCTTTGCACCTAAAATGTCTGATATACAAGGTAGTGGAGTAACGTTAGGAGATGCAGTCCCATGATAGTCGGTGACCGACAATTGGTTCATACGCCATTTGTTTCTTTAGGATACAAGAGGCCGTGTGTACCACTGGTTTGGAATCAGGGTTTTCCAACTCCCCTAGGTGAACTGTCCGCCAACCCGGTTAAATTGCCGGACATTCGATTTTCGTCCTCTCAATTTCGTAAACAACAATAATGCTGTGAGAATACAGTGAGTAGGACTTCCCTGGCAGTGTTTGTATGTACGTGGCCATTTGCGAGCATTTCGAGGAGAGTGGACTATCTCCACCCTCGGTCGTACCAGGGTATTTGGGGGCGACAGAGGTAGAAATAAATGAGTGCCGCCGGAACGGTGAAAAAAACTTACACTTAAGGGTTTCCACAGTGTAGACGTTTGGACCGAAACGATCCTCAAACCACTCTGGGTGGTAAGGGAAAGTTATTTACAGAATTAAAGGTGTGCTATACAAATGCTTGCAGCCTGCCTAATAAAATGGCGGGGCTCAAACCAGTGGTGGATACTGAATTCCCTGTTGTGATTGACATTTCAGAAACATGATTGACGTCAGAAGTGTATGATAGTGAAATTCGATTGCTTGGTTTCTTACCTAGCAGGACTGATAGACTAAACCGTAGGTGTGATGGGGTTATCCTATACGCGAAAAGCACATTAACCATACGAACTGTCGAGACAGTGGTACACGACTCGGGGACGTGTGAACTGATGCGCTGCATGGTGAAATGTGGGCGGCAAGATATTGAATTACTTGTAGTATACCGTAGTCCAGAATGTTTAGTGGGTGACTTCCTTCTAAGCGAAATTAAGTCCTGATGTAATAGGAGTAAAAGCCTTATAATAGGCAACTTTAATGCACCGTACATAAATTGGGGAAACCTAGAAGTAGGGATATCAACATCATTCGATTGCAGATTGTTAGAAACTGCAATGTCCCCAGCTTTATTCCAGCACATTAGAGATCCAACTAGATATGACCTACATAACTCATCTCTCTTGGGCCTAGTCTTCACACACGGGGATGATGTCAATCAAATAACTTTCCTCCACCTTTAGGAAGAATCGATCGTGCGGTAATCTTGTTTTGAATTACATATATATTCTTCAGCTGCAGGAATGTCATTCTTGGTTTGCTAATCCTTACATTCACATCTGCATCAGATTTTCATTGTTTGTCGATGATGCTAACCAGTCAAGTACATGAGTGCTCTCTCCTGTTCCAGAGTTTCTCCATCAAGTGTTCTCGGCGCTGCAATTCAGGATCTTGCGGTTTCCCTTCTGTATGTTGATACCTACTGATTCAGGGGCTGCTGTGGCATTGATTTTTTCTACCTGCACTTTTTGATGTGTATGGTATAGAAGGGTCTGACGAAATCTCAGCACGGATTCGTAAAACTCGTTTCGCTTTTGCCAAATCACGTCATCTATGGCAAAGGCGAGACATTCGGCTATCAATAAAAGGACGAGTATACTGAGCGGCACTTTGTTCTGTTTTACTTTACGGCTGCGAAATGTGGCCATTAAGACTAGAAAATGCTCGTCAGCTACTAGTATTTGACCGCAGATGCCTTAAAAATATTGCTAGTATCTGCTGGGATCACCGGGTAAGTAATAGTGAGGTTAGACAGGGTATTAGGGAATGATGGTAAATCAGTTGATGAGGTTATGAATCTTCATCGACTGAGATGGTTGGGCCACATGTTGCGTATTCCTGAACACCGATTATCACGACGCGCAATGCTGACCAGTGCTAGAGACGGTTGGAAGAAAGTTAGGGGCGGCCAAACAAAATCGTGGCATCAGTGCTTGAAGTCAATAACGTCTAGTCTTAACCATGTTGGTAGATGCAGACTACCCCGTTGGGGTGTGCGTGACTATCGTAACCAATAGTTGGAGACCGCGTGTGACATGGCTCAGAATCCTACGTTGTAGCTGGCTGACTGACTGATGGCATAGAACAGCTAGGTCATCTGCGAAGTTCAAATCTAACTGATTCCGAGCTTTCCATTGTATTACGTGCTTCCTCTCAGACGTGTAGGTCTTCATAATCCAGTCGACCATCAGGAGAAAGAAATGGAGAGTGAGCAACCTCGTCTGACACCGTTCCTCACCTGGGAAGTGGCTGTCAGCTGTCCTCTGTACACGACTTTGGAGGTTAGTCTGTCGTATGATTAATGTATGATATTGACCATTTTGAGGGGAATATTGTCACACCTATAACCGATTTGTGGAGTGCACGTAAAATTGTAAATATGTTACCATTCTTGTTCCTTTCTACCAGTCCATGTCGTCCCATAATCTCTTCATATCCACTGTTGTCCATTTCTTCCGTTTATTTTCGAAATAAATGTTTTATTTTTTTCCTATCATTGATAATTGTATTGATTAGACTTTTTTCACTTTCGTATTAGTAATCTTTTCCTTTTTTTTTATAGGCGATATTAAAAAATGGCAATTTGGATCAATATATATTTTTGTCAGATCCCATATTTTCTTGACTGACTAGAAATTTATTTATTTTTATTGACAAATTTTTTTTTTTTTGATGGGAAAAATAAGATTATTCATATTTCTTAACGTAAATCTTGTCATGGCCTTCAACTTAGTATTGCTTCTATCTTATTTGTTATCAGTGATTCAAAGAGAAGGCTTATAATCCCATTTCAATTAGTTGTTCGTTTTGAATCTAGTCTATTACTACGGTATGTTACTGAGATAATACGATTTTAAAAATAAAGAATTGATTTTATTTCAATTAACTGATACATCCATCTTGTGAAATTCACTGAAACAACGAAGTTTAAAAATCATTACTGAATAATCAATTATCCAAATATATCCATCATCAGATATATAATCACAGTTGAATTCACCAATTGATCTAAGCTATAACACCACTAAAAACATGGAAGTACTGGGCGGCCGTGTCGTCCTAGTATGAGACACTTCAGTAGTGTGCATCCACTATCCCGCACGTGGGAATCAAGCCGAGATCCTCTGGTCTCATGCGTGAATGCTTAACCTCCAGACCACTGAGTCAGCATCATTAATAACTGTACTAAGAATAGTTAATATTTTTATTATTTATATCGATATAAATATCAAATATAAAGTAATTGTTAATTTCACTTGTGATAGATATTCATTTAGGGCTTTACTATTTACTTAATTCTATTTAACTAATTCTCAATATAGAAAATATGTTAGTAAATATGTCCGGTGATATCAAGTCAAAGTTTTGAAGAATATGAAATGGATAATTAGCAAGTAAATCATACATTTAAAACGAATCAAACAGCACGAATGAGACAAGTGCTCTTCACACTCCACCCGACAACAAATTAAATTCTTTATTATCAAGTATAGTTACTAGTACATTAAGAAATGTAAAGCTAAAGTGCGTTATCAATGCATCAAATGGATAAAAAAAAGGAATTTATTAGATACAGGGATGATACATTCCGCAGATAATTCCCAATGATGCTAAAGTTGTTAAATAAAGTTCAGGACTAAAATCATTTTACTCTCCCTCAAACGACAGATTTCTAATCATGATATTAAGGCTTCGAAAGTACACAACAAATAAAATAGCTTATTTAGATGGTGGTTGTAGGTAGTCAACAGGAAACCCTAGACCCAGGTTTCGTGCCACTTGGCACTCGTCAGCAAGGTGTACCTGTAATCTTGAGGGAACTCGTGCTCCCTGACGGATTCGATCCCGTGTCACCCAGCTTCACAGTCAGAGACGTTACCACCGGGCTCTCCAGGCTGTGACATCACCTGTAGGACTGAGATGTAATCACAATTGATTGATCTGCACTAAGAGGGACTTGATACACATGAAATTGATCACCACTCAGTGATCAATCAATTGTGAAAAAAGCTTATTTGTTTTGCTAACATCAAGTGACTGTATCTTGAGCCATTTGTCTTTTCAGATTCTCATGTTGAAAAGCTGTATTATCTTGACTTAACAATAAAAGTATTGTAATTTAAGTTGAAGCAACATAGATACCAAGCTATTCATAGCTGAAATGTCCCGTCAGAAAATGTTTTATTAATGTATATAGTCACGTGAAAATTATATTTTCACTGAACTATTTACAGAAGGTTTATATCAACCTTATGAAAATAAGCGTTTTTACATAACACCGGTTTTAACTAATTGTCATTTAGTTACTTACTGTTTCAGAGATATGAGATCACACAGTTATAAAACTCATTGTAAAAAAATATAACAAAACAAGTGAGTTAGTCATAGTGTATTGGGAATATCTGGGAGTTGAAAGTTGGAACTATTCAATGGCGACTAATTCTTTGGTTCGACTACTAGCGTGATCGTAATTGGACTCGGCTGAGTAGTCCTAAACTGTTCAGTCCTTCATTGTATCAAATAATTCTTAAGCTGAAGTCAATATTTAATGACGAGCATTTTTCAAAAGTGACTTACCAATTCATAAGTGAATTCAACATGTCATCAGGTAATGGTAAGTGATGCGCTAAACATATGCGTCTTATTGCATGACGGCTTAGTTCACCTGTTTTATCGGCATCTTGTTGGCGACATGCGATCATTAAACTGGAGAAGTCTTCAAATGCTTTTCTACGAAGTGTTTGTTGTGCAATCCCGAGCAAAATTTCAAGGTTTATTTGCTTGGATGGGCTAAAGTTAGAATAATGATTATAATTAGTAAATGAAACAAACTCAAATGGATGCAAAATCACGTTGTTCTACTTGATATAGTATCCATGTTTTTTTAAAAATTTCACTTACCACCCCTGTGATATACCCATACCAACTAAATAGTGATTGGCTGGACTGGTACACGTTTCTAATATTGTACTTCAATCTTTTTTCTTCTACCTTTTTTATCAGATGGTCATTGAGTCGAGTTTATTCTGGGTCATTCAAATGGTATACTCTTGCTCATTATTTCACCCGTGTTTTAAATCACTCGTCACTCGGTAATTCACGTTATTGTCTTACTATCATCATTTATTTCTTAAGCTGTTTTGTCATTACTGTCGTTTTATCTGCTTACATGACACAAAAAAGCTAATACATGTTCGTTGCAGTTGGTTATGTTATAAACTGTTTCATTTATTCTTTTTCATTGTATGTATGTGTTGGTAATGTTAGATCACCAGAACTCGCTTGGTAAATGCTTTATTTTTATAATTCTGTTTCAGAAATGTGAATTTCTTGTTTTCGTGCCAAAAACACCCATTTTCACCTTCGTATCGTATTTCCCACTTGGGATGAACTTAAATGCTATTGGCTCGTTATCTCTTTTAGTATGCTATTTTGTACCGTTTCTCAAGGACATTCTTGCGCTGTATATATGTGCTTGCGTTGTGCTTGTTGTTATTATTCGAGCTTCTGGATGCTTTTGGGATATATTATCCCGTTTCGAACTTGAACTTCTCTCTCTAGTTAGCGGGTCTGGGACGCTTCGGAATAGCTAGCTTATTGGTCATTGTGTCACAGTGTCTTCTTTCTGTTCTCAAATTAGATGAGCTCGTAATCTATTCAAACATAGCAGTATGATTGTGAAATATATGTATCATTATTTTCTATCACTAAACTGGACCACTTTATGCATGTTTCTCGTAGAACCACATTCATAAAACTGCATTTTTAGAAAATCTATGTGCATATAAGAGTATATGAAGTAGAATGAATCTTACTTCACAATATATAACGCTGACAAGATGTTTAATTGTCTTTCAAAGGTCAAGGATGATTTGTGAAATCATGAAGTCTGCCTGCTTTCTCATTAGATATCTAATTAAAAGAGCGACTAGATTACTTTGAATTTCAGTCAGATTCTTTTATCATATTCTATTCAGGTATAAATAGACTATTTAAGGAATACATTAAAGGTGGACAAATGATCATCTGTGAGATCACTTAAAAACGTGTGTAAATAATGGAAAGTGGGATGATTCGAAATTATTTTGTGTAAACATGATAATTTGTATAAAAGTCTTAGAAACTAAAATCTAAGCATAAGTGAACCCATAATTAATTGAATTGAATCATGATTAGCGAGATAATTCTTGATTAAAATTCACTAATGATGAAATCTTCAAAGTTTAACTTATTTTATTGATAACGTGACTTTAGTGATTGGGTAAGTCGACGTTAACTTCGTTAACAAATAGTAAATTTCACTATCTTATTTCGAAACACGTTCAGATTTTATATCTGCAACCGATCTTCATTCTTATAAACGTTTGCTAAAGAGGTTTACACACATCTAAATTATAGGTACACAGAGAGAAAATGAGGTGAGACTATAATTTATAAACAACCTTTGAGGGACGTTGAAGTGACATTGAGAGTGGACACTTACTGATTAAGACTAAATGAGGATTATAAAGCATTTAAAATTCTCATTTACAGTTGAATGTCAGCTGACATTGGCTATAATGCCAAAACTCTATTTAGCCAAATATGTGGATGAATTTCACGCAAAATTCATTACTTGTTATCTCATATCTGATTCGTTCACCGAAAAAAAATCATTGTATGTTTTATTGAAAAAAATATCACCTACCTAACACCATAATGTCTTGCCAATGTACCAAGTTCATGGGTTGTTAACGCATTCTCTTTACCAGTCAACTGATTAATTAAATTTATCATTTGATCAAAACCAAATGTTCCTGTATCATCTGGATCTTGATTTACAGCATACTTGATAATTTCATCACATTGTTCATTGTTTAATATTGTTATTAATTTATTCAATATTAATTGATAGTCAGCTTGTTTAAATTGTGTTTTATGTTTCTCCATATAATCTAATGTATAATCATCGGCTTCAGTTAATTCAAATAGAAATGTATTAAAATCCAGTTTAGCACCAACATATAAATCTGTTGGTTTGTAATATTCCATTGGTTTATTATCAAATAATTTACTGTCGGGTTTTTTTATTTTTGATCGTTCTAAGAATAAACCACCTTGGAAACCTTGAAACAAAAGAAGAATTAGCAGGTGAAATTGTATTTACAAGGGTGAGCGAGTAAAGAAGTTAGATAATTGAGAAAAGAAACGAGCAGTAATTTTTTTTTATCAAGATGTTCCTATCTCTTGATATTAGAGAAGGTGCAAATGGGATCATATTATTGGGGAAAAAAATCTGAAACTCAACTGATTAGCTCAGCAAAGTGTTGTACTGTGAGGTAAAGATTCATGTAAAACGGATAAATGAAGTAACCACACTTGAAATTAACAATATTTTTAATGTAATTATCATCATAAACCGATGTTCCTTAGACATTGGTTGAAAATTCAAAGTGCACTGGATGCCGAATTGGTTCTATAGGTCTTGCAACTAGTACAGAACAATTTGACTGGTAAACTCAAATTCAGTAGTTCACATTTAAAATGCCATTCTTGATTATTAGCTCATGACATTGTTCTTTATAAAACCTACAGATGCTAGATCGGACCTCATTCGGAATGTAAAACAAAATAGCTATCCGGTCTTTGTTAGGTGTTCTAGTAGTTCTCGGGAAGTTTAGAAGAAACTTTACTTCGGGGACTCTTGATTTATAGGAACTCCAGATTACAGAAGCTACTAAAAATCATACTGAAATTGATAAAAATTTTAGTAATTGTTCAACCTAGGGACGGAAGTGTAATCAGTCACCGAAGTGTTCCCAGTATTTTTCCGGCTTTTAAAGATACCTTTGAGGAATTATTGAGAGTTTCTAACAAACTAAGATTCCCTTTAAACATAAAATAATATTTAAAAAACTATTTATTTAATTCATAAGTATTTTTGTAGATATCCTCTTACTGATTATTTTAACTTGGCGGGTTATAAAAAAATATTCAGTTGGTCGTAACAAATATCAGGGTAGTGAGATCAAGACCTGCCAAGGTAATATGGCTGTAAGTCGAAACTAGGTGGCTCTGAAGCAGTTTTAGTTTCCATGACTGCCTGATAAACAGTGAGAGTATAAACATATTACGTGTTGGTGCTCACACGCGGCCTCAATATGGAATAGTAGGTAACATTATACATGAGACACGCTATTGAATGAAGCCGATGCACGACTCGAGGTCTTAACCTACATGTCCTTTTCTGGGTAAAAAATAAAAGTAAATGAGTTTATCCCCATGGTTTATGTTCATCATAGTTAATTTTCGCAGCTAATCACATGGATATTAGGTTTAGTATACCTTAGGAAGTGTATATTGTACTAAATCGGATAGCCGGATAAAATACTATCTAGCAATCTAAACGATAACATGAATAGTAATACTTGAGAAATAATGTGAGCACATATGCTACGATGTATCTAATTTAACAAAATGATGATAATATCAATAATAATTCCATTAAACTAACGTAAATGTCAGGCTAACTTGTTACGTGCATAAGTTGTAAGAAGAGCCTTGTACATATCACAAAATGAATGACTCACTATTTAATCAAAAATAAAACTGTTACTAACAACAATACGACCAGTAGTATTGTTTAAAATATACATAAAATTAATAATTAAGTTTTTCCTTTCACTGCAATAAAAAATGAATTTTGTTATGAAACTATAGTTGATAAAGACTATTAAGAATGAAAGAACTATATATATATATATATATATATATATATATATATATATGATTATTGAACTTTCATTCATTTTATATTTTGTATTAAAACGTTTATCCAACCATACTGGATAGAGTCCAAGAAATCGGCGATGAACATTCTAGATCATTCTACTATAGCGAACAAGAACACGAATGGGGACAATACAATGAATCTGACACGACATTACGGAGCATCACATTGAAATCTGTGAACCATAAAGTAAATACTTAATATCAAAAATATCAATCCATCATGTCCACCTTCGATCGTTTATATACGTGAGTAGTGTATACAAGTTAAGATTTAGTGGGTAGAGTCTTGGTGAACATCAAAGTCTATCAAGACAATGAAGTTTTAATCCAACGTTTTCCTTCTTTACGTGTCGAATGCATTACAATCACTACTTCTTAGATAAGATTAGTCAAAAAATGTAATCCAAAATTATATTTTCATGTTTGGAAAAAATACTCTACTGTATGAAAATATTTCAATATCTTGTTTGTACAAACTAGGAATAGTACTGATGAATATACCACTTAATATGAAACAATGTTAAATATTCATATGTTTTATGATACATTCTGCTTAGGATTTGCATTATTACCCTGTTATGTCTTTTGACCCATTGACTAATATCAAATGCCAAGTCGCTAATCAGCATATGAATTTTAATTTTGTCTGCTTTGTGTCTACTGTTTCCACCGCAGACTAACATCCCCAAATCAACCAATTACACGCCCAACCGGCACTACTAACCTTAAGCCAATAATCAGTTGTTTATCGGTCCGTTATTCAAATGCTTCAATCTATGCCATGCCCTGAGTTCAGAAATAGCAACCAGCCTCTATGATATTTATTTCTCAAACAGTCGTAATTTATAAACAAACATATTAGGTCGCATCACATCATAAAATGATAAGTCGCAACTATAAATAAATAAGCCGAAAGTGGCTTTGAATAGGGAAGACAATAAATAAGCAACCGTCTACAAACTAGCAATAATAAATCGTAAGGAAGTAGTTTATAGGTTAATCTAATTCTTATTATAAATGGAATGCATACACATAGCGTAGTGAAGAAGAACACGAGTGGGGACAATACAATGAATCTGATACGACATTACGGAGCATCACATTGAAATCTGTGAACCATATAGTAAATACTTAATTTGCAAAATATCAATCCATCATCTCAAAATTGACTGTTTCTTTTACAAATAACAGCCCATCGTCTCACATTTCATTGTTGACGCATTTTCATACCAACTACATTCCGTTCCATTCCCGTTCTATCCTTGTCGATCTTCTACTGAAATACATTCTATGCCTGACTATCGTTATATATTACTTATGTGGATATAAGTTACTCACACCACACCACTTATTTAGTTATGTTTATTATTATAGGAACAACTAAATTTATAAGTACATATGGAGGTGGCTTATCTTTTAATTGTATAGAAAGTAAACAACAAAGTGTATAAATGATATACAATTTGAGTAAAATAAGTTTCCCATTTATAATGTTTCTTAGTTTTCTTGTTAATACTTTAATAATTTCAATCTCTTTGAATTGAAGTGTAAAACAAAATGGTTGTTTGTTTTTGTTGTTGCTTATACATGTTGAATGATTTTCAGTTGCTACTTTGATTGTATTAACCTTGATAAATTCTTCGTACAGAGTCATGTGTACTAATGTTATTAACTCTTCAACAGTATTCTGTGTGTCTGCCCTAAGCTACTGAACTCTGTAGATCAAAACATTTTTGTACTGAACGAAAAGAAAACAATTTAAGTTAATATATTTTTCAAAATGTGATATTTCATGTAAAACTGCTCATCTCATTGTTGTCATCTATTCTTCTTAATATTAAAATATTGTAAAATATCAGATATTCAAATTTTTCTAGTTAAAAGTAGATTTGATTTATTGATAAACAATAATAATAATAATCTCATTAGTTGTTTTGGTCAAAATGGGGGGTTTTTTGAGAGTTGAAAAAGTTCTTATAATAACTTAATGTCAAAACTATAAGATTCTTAATCTTAATATATTTAAATATAGAATCTATTAGTTAGGTAAATTATTTTAATTGAATTTATAGTAAAAAGTTAAAAATACTGAGGATGTCAAGTTTAATGTTGTTTACTTTAAGATTGATTTTTATATTTCTAATAAAGTTTTCTTATTTATTTTTATTAGGTAGTAAAAATTAAAAAGGAAATCTTTATTTAAATGTTTATAAGTGATATAGAAATTTTGTATGTGAATTTTTAAATCATGGATTGAAAGTGAAATTTTTCAGATTTTCTTAATTAAAAACTATTAGCAGTTTAAAAATCCCCATAGAATATTCAAAAATTAAAAATATTTGAGCGAACAATTGTTTTCAATAACTTCATCATCAGGCTCTACAGTTGTCAATTGAATAAATTCTCTTACTATGCATTCTATTCACACAATTTTGTTTTTCGATTTTGCTATAATACTATTCTACTTATTTCGATTGAACACTTTACTCCAAATCAGCTTGACCTTTATTGAATGACCTTTCTCATTTGCAAATAATACCATTTTGAAGTATATATATATATCGTAACAGATGCAAAAGTGCACCAATTTTTTAACACATAACATTGTCAAATTTCATGAATACATGCCTTATTTTTGGCCTTTGTAAAATATCACAATAATTATGGACTTATAACTGTAGAGCCTGATGATGAAGTTATTGAAAACAATTGTTCGCTCAAATATTCTTAATTTTTAAAAACTATTAATTTATTTTTTTTTAATTTTTTTTTTTTTGTAGTATATGATTTGGACATATCATTATTAATAAAAATAGTATATGATGGTGTTTGGTTTTATATATTCTGGTGTTATTTTTTTTTTGTTGTTGTTGTTGTTGTTTTGTTTTGTTTTTTTTTTGGTTATATAATTGAGTTGAAGTTGGGGTATATAAAGTGAGTAAATTAAATTAATAAAAATGTAAATACAATTAGTTTATAAAAGAATAGATGCTTTTCATGCTTTAGGAGGTTAAAATATTAATCAATGTATGTGTTATGCATATATTAAGTTCAGTTTAATAGAAATAAGATGATGAATATATATGTGTAGGGTGAATGAGATGGTTTAAATATTTTAAATATAGAATGTATTTTTGAGGGTTAGTTGTTAGTATGGACAGTTTAGTAATGATTTTCTTATTGGTTGCTTTTTATATTTTAGGTGAACGTAAGGTTTTTTCTTATATTCAGTTTCGAAAGGGTCCTAAAAAGGTTGGTTTAATGGGATTATTACAAAGATTTGCTGATTTTATAAAGTTATTATGTAAGAATAAGATAGCGGGATTTAGCTTTC